GCTCCTGGTGGCTCATTTCAGGTACTGAGGTGAGAGGCAGGATGAGGCAGGTATCGAACATGTCATGTTCGCCGCTTTCTTTTCGGAGTAGTCTTCCTCGGTCTTCGATCTCTTCCAGTGCTGAAAAAGTGTCAGCATAAACGATGCCGGCGGATGCTGTAAGACCCAGACTGACTGCTCTTCAAATGTGTCGGATAGTGGCGCTCTTCTCCAAACTTGGGGCATGTTGCTCTTCAAAACAGTATATAAATTAAAGCAAAAATAGCACCGCTTCTGTGAGGTGCACCTTGCTACTGGAAACTGATCCCCAAAAGAACGGCGAGGAGCAACTCAAGCGAAGCACTGCAAAGGATGCAGTCTTAATTCGTCCTGTGATGCTGTCAAAACCTATGGTCGTCACAGGCATGCGGCCAAACACCATCCAAATTCGCCGATAAGATCCGAACATTGAAGCAGATCTATGCTCCTCCCAGACTTCATCTTTCAGGTCTATGTCCACATCTTCTGCCCAGGCACCTCTCATCTTTCACGGAAACACCCCCCGTCGCATTGGGCTGCCCACCTTCGGCTTGGACCTTCCGACGCTTCGCCTCCAAGACCATGTGCTGAATGACCTAAAGCATGGCATTGCAAAAAAAGACGCCGACGCCGTGTATCGTAATCATGGTGATCCAACACCTGGTCAGCACATGGTTTGGCCATGAGATGTTTCCCTGGAGCAAATCAGGTCTAAAACAATCGAATGGTCACAGTGTGCGTTGGCCCGCTCAGCTCGAAATCCATCCTTCGTCCAGATCAAACCGCATCACGGCCTCGACAAATCTCTGAGATGCTCACGGCCTTTTGCACGTCCACACTAGCAACAGCCTAGCGATCCGCTCAGGGTTCTAGATCAAAAATGATCTACAAGACATCTATTGGTTTCCATTGGTTTCCAGCCGGCAAATCTATTTCAAAAAAGCGAACTCCATCCACTCCCACAGGCGCCACCGCACCTCTAACGCCCCTGGCGGCCCTGGGGGTGCCGGCACTCCCGGCGCCCCCATCGGCGCCCCCATGGGTCCCCCCGGTGGCCCCATGGGTGGCCCGGGAGGCCCGGGCCGCCCGGGTGGACGCCGCGAGGCCTCGGCCGGCCGGGTTCACCATGGAAAGCAAAAGTGACTTACAAGATTACGTCATCAACTGATAGGCACCAGATAGTGGTGTGAGGATGTTCTGAAGGCGATCTGGGCTCCGAGCTTCTGCCTTCGGTGGTGGTGGTGGCTCATCCTGTTTCCACTGCTCTTGTCAAGTGAAACCGATGATCAATGGGAACAAACTGTCAATGGATCTCTGGATTTCAGCTGGATGTGACGCAACACATTGAAGCCGAATCAGACTTCTAGGAAGTCAATGGCCAGTGGAACTTTATAAACTTATTCTGTTCTTTTGGTGATTCCATGGAACATGGAACATGGAACATGGAACATGAAACCAAAACCATCCAGCTAGAATTTCCCTCTACCTTTGTGTCATGTGGTTCTCTTCCACGGAGCCAAGCCCAAGTGACGGAAAGTAGCCCACCAAGCTCTTGGCGCACAATCCATTGGAACCGTCTGTAGGAATGAAACCATTAACCAAATAATATAATGTAGACTCTGGATTAATAAACCCCTCCAATTGAATTGGAAAATCCCCTTCATATGGGGGGCTGATGAATCAAGAGTCTACATTTTCATGTCTTGGAAAAGAAGTAGGACTGTCTTGGGCAAAGGTTGGCAGGTACTTCAGACATCGTCACTCGTGTCATCGTCTCCCTCCTCTACCCCTCCCTCCGGTCGGTCCGTCCTCTACCTCCGCCTCTCCGCCCTCTGCATAGGGCGTCTGGTCCATGGCAGCCTTGGCAGCCTCGGTGGCGGACTCCAATCAAACCTGTCCCCATCAGCGAAAGGGCTCAGAAAGAACAGCGATCAATTTACAAGACTGCAGTGATCAAGTGCTTGAGTAAGCTGCTCGGATGCTCGAGTGGATCGTTCTGAAAAAACATCATTCTCCCATTGGGGACATATATCATATAGCAGCGGCCTCGCGTTCGGCTGCGGCTCTGCGTGCGACGTGCGACACATGAGTTGGGCAGCAAGTCTGGGGACCCTGATTTCATGGCCTCATGGCATGCAGAGAATTTCACCAGATAGTAACAAGGACGCTACTAGGGGCTCCAGGTCTTTTTAAGGCCTTTTTGGTGCCCAGACTCTCTCGATCTCAGCCAACTGCTTCTTGAGATCCTGAAGTGAGGGAAGCTGACAAACTGCGTGCAACACACAAAGGCTGTTTGTAAAAGAGCTGTGTATCCCGCTTGCATAGAACTGGTTGTAAACAGGATAGAAAACGAACAGTGCGTGTTCTGGTTCTTGCCATTCTTGGGCTTTGTCCATCGGACGATTCAAAACGTGTGTGAGGCCTTCTTGTTCTGGGCCCTGAAGGCAAACATGGCTGACCGAATAAAAACAATGAATGGGCATGTGGCCAGATGTTGTCTGGCTACGATACATATGTACAGTGTCCATCCCAACTGAATCAGTGCTTTCCCAGCTGAATGTCCTGCTCCTCCCTCTGTCGGTCTTTCTCACGTTGCCGACAGTTCTTCAAGTACAACTGGCGGTGACAGGATCAAAAAATCAGCTTGCCAAAAGTAACACCATTCTTCACAACAGTAGGCCTAGGCTTTCGTCCGGGACTTCCCTTGCTAGTTTGCAAAGGTTCTCGCCCTTTTGGCGCACACCCAAACAAAAACCAGCTATCTCGGGTGGTTCATGTTCTTTTGCCTGCTCCGAAGGACTTCTAACACAACAGAACCGCCCCACCGGTGAGTCCGGTGAAGGCTCTCAGCCTACATCCGAGCTCGGCCTTTCCTATGCCAAACGCGTCAAGTCCTAAAACGCTCGACCAACGTTTCCTTGGCCCGACGATTTCATCCCAGGCCATCCGGGCTCGGACCTCCTTCTTTTCCTGGTGCATGCGACCCTCTTCATGCTTCCTGTGAAGCAGGAAATCTGTCTGCAGTGGATTGGCATTGCTCAATACTGTCAGAAAAAAGAAAAGTCGGTGTGTCCGAAAAGAAGATTTTCCACCGTGGGTGGACGGATAATCATTGTTTATCTCCCATCTTGGTGGCTAAGGTGGAAACTACAAAATCAAGAAGAGAGCTCACTAAGACTAGAAATCCCATGCTTGGTAGGTGGTCAACGACTTCGATTGTACATGAAAGGCGTATTTTGGTGTACTTCTGTGGTTGCCGTGGAAACGAGTTGATCTGTGCACTCGACATGCAAGGACCATGCCGGGGGTCAATCCTCAAAGCCTTACACGAGCCACTCGAATTCCCCCACCCCCAACAGCTTTGACACATTTGGACACTAGAAAAGGGTCGGTCGATGCGGGTCGTGTGCCTCTCGACTCAGCTCGGCCCCTCGGCTCGTGGCCTGATCTGCCACAGATGTCCTCCGGTCCAAACCTGCATCCACCGAACTCGTGTCCGTTGGGGCCCTGAGGTCAACAGAAATCAAGAAAAGGGGGGCAACAAAGCCTTATGAATAGTTACAAAAAATGCCATTAAAAAGGTGATTGGACCCTGGACCACTGAAGTTCCCAAAGACACATCAGGTGCAGGCAGGCACATGTCAGACTGACAACCATCCAACTCCAAGACGTTCGGATGTGTGCGGCGCGTGCGGTTCTTGCAAAGAAAAGGCTGAAATGCCCAGAGCTTCAGAATAGCTTGCAGCACTGGCCCAGTTCTTCCATTAGAAGCGGCTAGCAAAGGTCCTCCTCCATACTGGTTCAAAAATACAACCTATGTTCTTTCATGCACTGATCCGGATCGCCTTGCAGTAGTCGCAAAAGTGCTTCTTCTGCGAGACCCACCATTCCGTCATCCTCCACAAATATTCAGAGAAGGTTTGCATGTGCGAGTCAGAAGGTAGCTTGTGCAATGCTCAATAGAATCAGGTGATCATTCAAGCAACCCTGTGAGCAGAAGGAATGGGTAAAGCTCTTGTGTGGGAAACATCTGGGAACACGCTGGAAAATGTCAAAGCTTACAAGGATCACAAATACTCCGGCAAATTCCACCTGCCCTGCCGGTACTCGCACACGAGATGATCGAAAAGAATCCAAAACTCTTCCAATCACCCAAACACTCAGCTCAGCTCAATTCCTGCCCTGCCTTTAGGCAGTGCCGCAAGGCACTCAGTGTTCCCTTCGTCGAAGCAAACTCTAGGTTTTCTGTCGTCTTCCTCTTAGTGTCATTGCCCCTTGTCGAAGACTCTGGAGTTCGGAACCATCCGAGTTGAGCAATGTGTTGAGCCATCTAGTCTGTAGGTTTGGAAGTTGAACTGCACAAAGATTCGAGTCCTTTTCAAGTCGTGTGTTTTTTGTTGCCAAAACAACAAAAACAAAAAACAGTCAAGCACTAAAAGCTTAAGCCCGAGTCCGCGAGGCCCGCGAGGTAGGCGAAATCCAACAGGCGAGTTCCCAAGCCACGTACAAAGAACATATGGCACAATCGAGATGGACCGAATATTGTCTCAGATGTTTGTATATATATATATAGATATATGTATTAAAAAAATGTTATGTTTGTGGAAAATAGACTCGGATGATCTATTGCATTGGTTTATTTTCTGCGGGTAGTGAAAAGGTCCAAGACTGAACAATGCCGCAAGGCCCAGGCTTAGCACATGGCGTTGGAATGCTTGCGCAGAGTCAATATGAGAGACAAAAAAAAACTACATCCCAAGCTTAACATGTTCCAAGTTTAAACTGGAAAATTGCATGTTGCATCTGTTTCATCTGCTCCGTTGCCAGAAGAAAAAACTCGCATTTCTAGCGAATGGATCTTCTTTTGCGCTCTATAGCCGCATGACCTAGCTGATTTCGACCAAGCAAATCAGCCTTCTGCGAGACTCGGGTGTCGTACCGGTGACCAGTGCATCAAGACTGTCGTCCCCGCCGTGACACGCCTCGGATCGAGGCCAAGTGGACCATCTCCGCGGCTTCCTGTGCGGCCTGGCCATTCATTCGCTTCGCGGAAGATCTGAAGATTTGAAGGAAGAAACAAGAAACAGAAGAAGGTAAGGGGGCTCGTTAATAAGGCCTACAAGGGCCTTATTAAAGAGGCCCTGAGCCCTTCACCTTCTTTTGTTTCATTGTTCTTGCCATTTTTCAGAAAACTAGAAAGGTTTCTTAGGGCATCTGAAGAGCTTGCTCAAGAGTCTCCAGACATGGCGGTTGACAGTCAAAAAGCGGGCGACGCCCTCAGCCTTGATTTTACAAAACTCTTTATAGTAAAATCAAGCTGACAGCCATCACGTGGGAGAAACTACAGACAGCGCCCTTCAAACGACCGGTGCGAGATTCGAAGACTTCCCTGGGACCTCCTTGCTGTTGTAGGTGATCATCGCGGAACCACCCGAGCCCTGCGGGACAAGCAATAGAAGTTCACATCACAGTGTGGACCTTGATGGATCTCGATGGATTGTTTGAAAGGAATGAAATTGACAAGTATATATGCCCGTGTGATCCTGTTGAAAAGATCGAAACAATGAACTGCTCCAGGTGGGAACACTGTGAAACCCCATCAAAGGCGTTATCCTTTTCATACGTTTGCGCCTTGTTCAACGATTTCAACGGTCTTTCGTTGGCTCTGGGATGCTCTGGGGCTTCTTGAATGTGCACAGAAATCTCCGCAGAACTTTGCCTTGAGGCAAATTAGATGAAGTGAACATAAGCCAAAATGCCTGCTCTTCCCATGTCCATATCAAGAATCAATTACATTCCTTCCAAGAAATAGGAACATTAAATTCTTCCAAGGGACTATGTAAGACCATACACCCTAGTTACTAGTTGAAAGGAGTACACTTGGGTCTGTAACCAACATGGGTGCCAAGGGTAATTGCCAAAACCTGTGTCCCTTGCGGGTGCGCGAGTCGTTTCACATTGGGCTCTCCGGCTTCATCGATATGTTCTAAGGACACGATGTCGCCATACCAGCCGAAGACTTGTCTCAGGCCATTCTCCTGGCTGACGCTCGATCAACAATGGTCCAGTCAAATGGTGAGATCACCATGGTTGATGAAAGCAATCCCGAAGACAACGACGTCGAAAAGTTTTGTTGAAAATACAACTCAAAACTGAGGTTTGGAGTACTGTAAATAGAAAAGAGCTGTGAAGCTTGTAGGAATGATCGACCACTGGGTCACCTGCTAGCTGCCTGACTCTCACAACTTGAACTCAACACCATGATCATCAACATGGCCCGTCTTCCAAAGTCCCAGTGATTGGTGCCTTTTCTATGGAGAGACACCTGGAGAAGTTGGAATCTTTGCTGAAACAAAAAAGTAGCTGTGAGACCTGGAGGCTGACCTCCGTGTATCAGTCAAAACCATCCTGGAACTCGTCCCTTTGATCTCAACGTCTGTCGCAACTGAGGCTCCAAACCCCCACATTTGGGGCCAGGTCGCAGAGGTAGACCTAGGAGGCCAAGAACCCCCAGAACCCCCTGACACATCGCTTGGGGTCGTTTCTCCTGATAACTTCTGTTTAACAGATGTGTTTGCAAGCGGCCCAGCTGCTCTCCCCAAGTTCTGTTGGCACCGGAAAATGGACTCGCCAGGAATCTGAGGTCCCATACCGCAAGGCATCCACCCTGGCCGGTTCAAAGCAAGTTCATGGGATGCTTTGGAAAATTGGAAATCTTTGGAATGTGTATTTTCCTGCAAGAGTGTTTTTTGGAGAGTTTGGGAATTGGTTCGAAATCAACCTTCGCCAGTCCTCTGCTTAATGTTCTACATCGGAGGTCTTTGGGGGAAGCTCCTCGTTCCTCATCTTGGAGAACTGAGAGTACCGTACAATCACCCTAAACACCATTTTCGCGGAGATTTCCACAACAGCGACTCATCCACCTGGTTCTTGTTTACCATTGAAGGTCAAAACCTGCTTTCTCCCTGGTCCAAAGGTCCAATCTGTGCCAGCTGCTCCCATGGCTCCATGAAAAGGACAGCCAAGAATGAACCAAGAAGACGTATCTCTCTTGAACGTGTGAGTGTTGCAAGACAGTCCTAAAAACGTCAATTGCTGCGTTTGAAGACCTGAGTGGTGGATCTACTTCACCACGCCCCTTCGTCATAACCCACAATCTTTGCCCAAAGGCCGCTTCTACTATGTGACACCGTGACTTGCTTTGATTTCATTCACCACACACGGCTTGAAGACAGAAAAATAGACCAGCTGCGTCATCATCCAGCCACATGAAGGGATGGGATCGGTTTTGCGCATTTAATAAAGCAGCAGAAACCAATAACACAGAAGGTTTGGCCTTGCTGACGAAGTCTTGCGGCATGTGTTCAGTAAACGCAACTTGCACGTTCACCACAGCTCATGTCTGTGGTGGGCTAGCAGCTTGCACACGAGGCCCACAAATATATCATTGACTTGCAAGAGGTGCAAAGGAAAACAGGAACCACAAGAAACAGCTCATTTCTTTAGCTCCCTGTTGTTTCGAAACTCCAGGGTGTAGGACTGATGCCTTGACAGGAAAAATCCCCAAATCGGCATGCACAAGCGAGCCGCCTTTTGACAGGTCTGTAATCGATCGCAATTCCGTCTCGGGGATTTGAACTTCAAACCCCATACTTCCCACATACTCTCGTACCACGATAGTATGTGGGCACTCTATCAGTCAGCGAATCTAGACCAAAATTCTCCTGCGATCATCAAATCGCAGCTCCACGGAAAATCCTGTCTCTGCATGTTGTGCTTCATGTAGCGCACAGCAAACGGTACTGTAGAGCCATAGAAATGGATCATCACCTCCAGGCAAGTCCAAATCCTAAATGCTCAATAACCATCATAGATGTAAAAACATTCAGCAAACTAGGACTAAAAAGCAACCAAATGCCCAAGACAAATGAAGGCAGATGGGATGTTATCATCCGACCCAGAAGACCACTTTGCGCCTGCCAAGGCCAATAGTTCTGGCCTAGCGAAAGAACAAAGGTTGGTGTCAACCATTAACTGAGTTGCACATCGAATTTCTTCAATTCTGGTTTGATGTAGAGTTTGTTGGTTGTAGTCTAGGTCCTATCACTATGTTTTTGTTGGGTCTTTGTAACTTGTAGTTGCACCGACGCTTCTGGTATTTCGAGGCACCAGACCTCCAAAGAAAATCAAGAACCACCGGTGGTGTTCATTAATAACCACCACAGTACAAAAACGAACCCACCGAAGCATATCTCTCCACGCCTCAAGGCACAGCAAGTCATTGAGTTAATCTCTGCCCAACGATACTGCTGGGACGAGTGCCATCCCAACCTTGTCAAAAGCGGACTGTTTCTTGGCTGAAGAAAAATGTGTTAGGAATGGAGATCTTCGAAACAAAACCATTGGAAGGTACTTGTAACTACCCTTCTGCACTGCTCGAGACATAGAGGGATGACTTCACAAATGTGTCCCCTTCTTTGAAACACCGATGGCGGGAGCTTGCACAAATGTTGGAGATCAACCAAAAGGCATGAAATGTGAAAGAAACACAAGGCCAATACAAACAAAGATCTATAACTATGGATTTTGTTAGTCCATGAAATGTCCATTTTTCTCCATCCCAAATCCTTCACATTTCACCTCTCTTCCCCTGCACCCAGCTCCAGTCTTTCCCCGCTCTTCTGGGTTTCCCAGACGCAGATCCCAATCCAAGACCAGGTCCGGGCGCCGCACGCGCCTAGCCAATACCCAACAAGCTGTATGACCACCGGCTTTCGGGTTGTGTGTTCAAGAACGTCTACAGCAAGGTTGAAGCATCTGAACTGGGCATGATTGTCTATGATCAATATGTCTATGGTTGTAAATGAATCGCTGCAAAAGACCTTTTTGCCATCACTATAAGTATTTTGTGCTCAGTTCAAGACTGACACTGCAAACTGCAGCGGCAGGAGAGGGTTTGAACCAGCCACCCTACATTGAGGGTGATGTGGATAATGAGTAAATGATTCATGGGATTCATGGCTGACATGCACAACATACAATACAACAACATATTCAAAAGGAACCATCTAACAAAACTCTCAAAGTATTAGTAGACTAAGTCCGCAACTCCGGAAGACATTGGCTGCAACCCGCATAACTTGGGGAGCAAACCTGTGAAGTTGCTCTCATGTCGCATGTGGATCACTTCGAGATCAAGATGAGCATGTTGAGCAGCCAAGGGCCCGTTCCGATAGAACTATTGAGCAGAGCTTGAGAGGATCAGCACTGACAAGAAGCCACCTGAGAGCTTTGGGACAAAACGCAAGGCAAGTGCACGATACATGATGGTCACTTGACATATATACGTCTTTTGGACCAATACAAGTGGAAAATATTGAACATCACTACAAGTAACATAGAACACAACATGAAGCCATCTTGAAGCTTTTGGATGTTCTCCTCACCTTGGATCATGATCGCTTCCCTTGGTGGAGCACCGGGAGAAGGACGTAGACTTCGTATCTGCGCACATGCGAATAGCCACCGGCTACAATTTGGCCCAATGGAACGGTCTCCAGAGGCTTCTCCTGAAGACCTGGGAAAGTCACAATGGTTCACCAAGCGACTCCATGTCCGGAGTTTTGATGAGTGTTGTCAAGCATGCTGGGAGTCGAAATTCTACCCTTTTGCCACCAAAGTATGTCACTGGATCACCTACAACACTCGCTGAACCAACTGTAGTGGTAGTCGTTGCTGTGATCTGGCACCTCCACAAATCACTGGCGGATGTACAGCATGTTGTTTGTTGCATCCCAAGCTGCTCTCAACCTCAAGCGTGCAGAAAAAAACAGAGCCATTGTCCAGCTGAGACCAAGAGTCCGACTGAGGATCATAGCTCCACAGGTCGTTGTAGCGAGTCGACGCACTGTCACGTCCACCAACCACTAGCATTCTTTGGTTCAGAGTATCCCACACAGCTGCATGGTTCTCACGCACAAAGCCTGAACTGGTGAGCTGAGTCTACGAATTTCCAGTGGTGTCATATTTCCAAAGCTCTGAGTCCACACCACCGAAGATGTAGAGTGCGCAGAGGCCCAAACGACGCTATGGACGTTGCGAGCAGCGGGTCCGGTGCTGTGTTGAGTCCAAGTACGGGTGCTTGGGTTGAAGCTCCAAAGGTCATCAAGATATGCACCTGCCAGTGGACAGAGGACATGGGAGGTCAAGTTGTCAAGGCCCGAATCTTGATTAAAAATTTGAAAGAAGAACTTCATAACAGACAAACTCTAAACCATGAAACAAGCCCCCTAGTTCGACGTCCCCTTCCCGACCCATCGGGACCTGTCCATCCACCGAACATCCACAAAAGCTGGTTGTTGGAGTCCCAAGCAGCAAAGTGGCCATTCCGCGCTTGGGTGCTGCTCTAGTGCCATCATGCTGAAGGTTCCAAGTGAGGCTTCCATCTAAGGTCCACAAGTCGTTCAAATAGCCTCCAGAAGGTCCTCCCCCGAACATCCAAAGGATTCCGGCAGCTGATGCAGTTGCCGGCCAATTACGGTCTGCTGGTGTTCCACCTGTTCCAGCTGTGGTCGTGCTGGTGCCCCTGCCGGTGTTGTCAGCTGGCCAAGTGCGCCGGTGCTTTTGTCAGCTGGTTGTGCGCTGTGGAGGTGCCATAAGCTGGCTGTGCAGGCTGCGTACATTCTTGTTCCAGCCAGTCGCATGTCAACAGGTCGTGGGATTCTGCCTAGCTATCTGGGTCTATGCTGGTGTAATTTGTGGGTTGGGGGGATTATGAATGAATGAGAAGTTATATAATGTGAATGTCAAACTACGCACCTAATCTGCATCAATATTTCTTGGAAAACATTGCGTCGCATGCCAAGTTCTGAAGAATTGTCCTATGCTCTAGTTTTTAAGCCTCGACCTGGTCGGGCGTGCCAAGGCATGCAGTGCTTGTCAGTGCTTGGTGCTGTGTAGTCTAGACATCTTCATTATCTCGCCATACTGCCAAGCACAGCTCAGCCAGATTCTTGCGTAGTCTTTCCAGTCTCTTGGGACACAGTGGCAACTTGATTCAACAAATAGATTGTGTACATCTGAAACTCAAGGAGGCTTGGTTGAGAGGCACATGGTGAGGCACCACATGGCACCACAACATGCTGCAATTCGGATTTCCTGCTTAGTCAGCTGTCCCTCGCCCGCCTTCACAGAGACCGTGGCAACCACCAGGCTTGCTGATGGCCATCACCTGTGGGAATTCTCAAAGGCTCCAAATCTTAGGCTCTATGATGCTCTATGCCCCAAGAATGCCTTGCCGGAGGACTTTCCGAATGATTCACGGAAACCACAGGTCCTTTCTCAGGTAGTGTCCCAGTCGTGCTAGCTTCATCAGTCAACATGTTGCCACTCAGATTCCAAGAGTCACCCAACAAAGAAACACCAATACACTGCCAATCAACAGCGGTCATGTGGGTTCCAGGCCTTTGCCCCAGAACTGATGAGCAAATGCAGACCTTTGGGTGGAGGATGCGAGAAAAAATGTCAGCGGGTAACAAAGTTTCAGTTCTGAACAACTCAGCGCAAAACCACCAAATCAAAGAATTAAAATAAACACATGTGAAAAACAACTATCGAAACCGATGTTTTGCAGCATTGGCTGCGAACATGTGCGTTTTCGGGTCACCAGGCAAATTCAAGTCTTCCCAAACATGAGCCCCCCACATCACAACTCTATCAAACTACCAATGTATTTGGAAAAAATGCCGTAAGCGTTGGAAGGTGCTATCTTGAATCATTCACACTGCAGGGAGGTAAACAAATTTCCATCACACACACAATTGTCATGGCAATTATCCACACAAGTGTGGTTTGTCATTGCAATAACCAACTGTTTTTGTTCCGTTTTTTGGTTTGTGGCAGCATGACAATTGCAGTTATGCTGCCAACTTGCCAACCACCAAAAAACCCGACAGAAACGCAATGGTCGCTGCATAAACTGCCCAGCCGGGCATGAACACACTCAATGCTGCACAACGTGACAACGTGTACGATCAACACGCGTCACTTGTTGAAATGAGGCATCCTTACAAAAATGTTTCTACATATCCAAAAGACAGACCTAAAAAGATAGGAAATGTAGCTAAGAATGAAACAGGATTCCCAACTCCAAGTGTTGACAAACATAATGTATTCGTACCTGCTAGCAGCATTCGACTCACATGCGTCAGCATTTGTCAGCCGCAGCATTGTTTACGCACGCACATGCCCTGCGTGATCCATCGGATGCTATTTTTCAAAGGTATTTCTTCGCGGCGATTTCATCGAATCTATCACATGCTGTCGATTTAGGTTCCTGTAACAAAAAATTGCAATATGTGTGTTCAAAACAAATTGCGGTGGTTTTACAACACAGATGCATAAGTCATAAATAGAACAGAAAGAAAAAGAGAGAGAGAGAGAGACAGACAGACAAACACGTACATGCGCAAGGGAGGGACGAGCTGTTCAAACAGGTGTGGGATGTGCAAATGGACGATGGAAACATGCAGGCTTCTTTTGGAAAACCTTTTGGTGAGGCACTAGGCGGAAGACTTTTTATCCAATCACATAAGCTAGTTGGCAAATAGAACAAATTATATAACATATCCATCTTAACCAGCGATCCCCACTATGTTCGAAGAACATATAGTTGACACCAGCAGTGAACTAAGTTCAATCACAGATCTATTGAGCTACGATCAACGAGTTTCCCGGCTTACCATGGAACATGCCAACGTACCAAAGACGCACCATGCCATGACATCATCGAACAGTTGGCCTACGCCATGTACCATGCCTGGAGCATCCTGGAACTAGATATTTGATATTTGTAACTGGCAAGTCTACGCATTCAAGCGGGTTCATCGCCCCCAAGGTATCCCAAAGTTTAGAAACCAATAGAAGTTCAAGCCATCATCCAATGCTATTCCAATGCTTTATTTTTAGCGTGTCACTGAAATCGCCGGAAGTGGCATGGTGTGGCACGCACGATGCCACGAAACATGGCCGAATGAGCTCAGCCTCAAGATGAGGCTCCCAGCACGGCTCAGCCTTAATAAAGTTCTGTACTTCCCCGCTGCATGCAGCAACGGCACCCCGAAATGTGCTGAAACTCTGCCACGGCCGCGTTTCCCTGTTGCCGGTGCGCCAAATGACTAAGACCAATTTGGGATCCAAATGAATATCTGCCAGAGGCCGTAGCCAAATGAGCCATGGACGAAGCCGACTAAAACACAAGTTGCGCCTTCACACTCGTGCCTACGGAGGCACCAGCCAATTAAAACACCAAAACAAAAACCGCCACCAAACAAAAAGACACCAAAACCATCCACAACCTGTATGAAAACATCAGCAGCCAGACCACCAAAAACACCGCCACTAGCCAGCTCCAGCACCACAATACCCAAAAACCAACCAAACACCAGCACACCAAAACCAGGGAAAAAAAAAGAAAAAAGGCTAAACACCATGGAACAGCATCAGCACAAGTAAAACACAGAACACGACCAGCAACTACCTGGACACGAACAGCACCCGAAACGACGATTCCGTGCGAGACTTCCTCAAGTCTTGCAGGGCAACTTCAAACCAAGGATGCTGTCCCATAGGTCCTCCACTACTTGTGCATAGGACTTGCGACCTATTCTCATGCGACTACTTGTTTGAATGACTGCTTGACTTGCTACCTATGTTCATTAATCATATTTGTCCGTAACTTGGAAATATGCTCCCCAAACTTCTTTGGATTCTATTTCAACAATGATACATGCGACCAAAACCAGGACAGGTGACAGGGCAACGTCTGGTAGCAGCTAGCATTGCATCTAATTCGGCAAACGGCCATCAGCTCTTGCCAAAAAAATAAATCAAACCGTAAGGACACACCCGAGTCACACAAGGACAATCTCCGCCATCTCCGGAATCTGCTCAGTCGTCATCAACTTCAGCATCGTGCTCGCCTTGCGAAAACAAGTGGACCACAAGAGAAATGGTTGCTGCTGAACTCCTAGAGTCTCGAGCGCCAATCAGAAATAGCAGCCAACCGCTGTCTGTTTAGAGACCCTCAGTGATCTCAGAAAAAATGTAAGACTCTTCTACTCTTATGCTTCTCTATTCTTCTCTCTCGCTCTCTCTCTAGAAAATGTTGCCAGCTCTTAATGGGAACTCTTCCGATGTCTTAACGAGGATTACAGGAACTTGCAAAGCTGGCAGCATTTTAAGCACTTGCGATTTCCACAAGAGAACATCACGTTGAGGTCTAAAGGGATTAGTTGCTTCTTGACCATTGCATCCAGCCAAAAAAAAAGTGCAGCACGCAAACGAAGAAAAGAAGAGTGAGCGTTTCTCAGAAAGAAGTGATTTTGTCCGAATTCGGATGGTGCAAACAAGCATGTGCAGGGACATCCAGCGAGAACTTTTCCAGTCCGGGAGCGAGAATTGTTCCAGTTCGGGGCTGGGGTTTCTGTGAGAACATGCTCTGAAGACCCGGTTGTAATCTGCTCTTGCGACCCCTACCGACCTTTAGTAGCACGCTTTTAGGTACAGCATAATTTTTTGTGCGTAAATCTTATGCAGCACAACTTGTTCTTGTGCCTAACTTCCATTAGCACGTCTTTGGTACACGGTTTTTTCCGTTCCTAACTTTTCCGCCAAACAAAACAACTTTGGGTTCTCAGAAAACAGACCCAAAAAAGAGCAAAAAAACTGTGTCCAAGGAAATGCCATGCCATCAACTACCTACTGGATCAAGCTTCTGGTAAGATCAAGCTGTTGGCAAGATCAAGTTGTTGTGAAATAGGCTGGTGAATGTTGAAGATTGTGCCATGAAAATGGGCTCATTTGGGAATCTCCGTTCTGAAATGTATTTTTTGTGTTGGAAGTCGATGAAGAAAGCACAGAAACTTGATGACTGAAAGTGATCAACAATCAAAAGGCAAAATTACAAGTACCTTCACAAATAGCACTTGATGGTTTTTGAATCCCACCCGAAGCTATATCTTCAAATGACTGATGGCCCGCTGAAATCTGATCACTTAATTTTCAGATATGTTCACTGTTTGTCTGGCAAGCCGCCTGTATTGAAGATCTTTCTTTGACATGCTTGATGCAACCTCCACAAAATACACCTACATGCCCTGAATGCAGCACAAAAAGGTAAACCAAATATGCACATTGCGGATGAAATGTCAGGGTTTGAGGATCCAAGATGTGGCCTTCAACTCTTCTTCATTCACATCCTCGACAGGACCCTTCTGCTGGTGGCGGCCCGGCCCAATATACCTTGGAAAATGCAAACATGTCCTCACATGCCCGGTGTCTCTCGGTTAGTGGCTATAAGTGGTTGACTGTAGACTCCATTGCTTTTCATAGTTAGAAACCACGACCAACACCAAGACCACCACTAATGACAATAAAAAAGCGATAAATTGCAGCTCGATCCATGGTGGGTTGGGTTAATCAAGATATGTAATCACCGCCACTGAAAGCAATTGAAAAAAAATATAGTTTCAACAAACATATAGGCTAGGATACCGAATCCAGCATCTAAACGTTTTTGAGGGCTGCACATGTCCTTTGCCTGGGAGCATTTCTAAGATTTGATACCATTCATGTTCGATACACCGCTGGCAAAATAGAACAATACCAGCAACAGATCTCAAAAAGTTTAGGTGTAGCAAGTAGCAAGGGTTCTTGTGAAATTAAACCATTCTTGTGTTCCTGGTTGCCAACGCAAACCCAAATGGTAAGTCTCCAAAGCACTCGTGGCTGTAGCACACGCGGCGCACCACTGGACGACGATGCGCGATATCGTTGTCCAAGGGAGCTTTCGGTGCTCGGCCGCAGGTGTGCTTCGGAGGTCTGCCCGCCCGCCTCACTCCATCCCTCTCGCGGACGCAGGCAACGCAGTCCTAAGTTGAACGCATGAGAACTTAAGGATCAACGCAGAGATGTTGAAGAAGTTGAAGGCAACATTTCTGTAGAAATCCTCACAGTCCGAGCACTTAAGGCACCATTTTTGAAAGGCACCAAAACAAATAACCATTCGACCAATGAATCATGCACGCATTGCTCACCACTTACGAAGCACAGGAACTTGCGACTTCTTGCATGGCAGCCTATGCTACCTAGTCTCCGCATCAAAGACAGGAGGTTCAACGTCGATGTTGTCAACCACATCACCTACGCTGGAAGACGGCATTACAAATGCTGGGTCTTCTGATCTCAAACCCAAGTGTTGGAAACCTCACCAATGCTTACTGACGTCAACATGGTCGTATGTGCATCCTTCGGTCAAAAGCACCGGGCTTACTCAAATGTCAGGACCCATGGGTCTATGGGTACCTTCTCAAGACTAGTTCATTCTGGTCGGCAGCTTGAAGCAAAGGCCACCAAAACACTAACCAGTCGCAGTTTTGAGAGACTGCGCACAGCTCCACTTTTCATTGAATAAATGAAAGCCTTTGGTTCTCAAGAAGCTTGCTGCAGGTTTGAAACACGTTGAAACCATCTGCTAGAAGACCGTCAGGGTAATAAGTGGCAAATTGACCTACAGTATCAGCAGCATTTGTGTGCACTAGGCGGCCCATCAGCAGCATCGCCACCAGTGCGGGAACTAGCACATCGTGGATTTGGAGTGGGTGATCAAACCTTGTGGCCTGTAGAACAGCAAGATGATTCAAAACGATCACTTCATGTTGGTCATTGGTTGTTCCCAACCGGCATTACAAAAACAATCACAAGCCACGAACAATACGAGCAACATCGAGCAACTATCCATAACACATGACATCCCAAGCTGTCCTTCACAAATACGTCTCATCCTAGTCACCATCGCTTACCATGGTGAGGCCACCAAATCGTGCAGAGTTCTGGTGGCCGACCCTTCGTGCCGAGCCTTCGTGCCGAGCCGAGCCGCCCTCCAGCCGCTTGGCTTCCCGTTTGCGCTTCCTCGTGAAGCCTGGCACTCCCCGCACTGATCTGGACGGCATCACACTTAGTCGGTGAGTGATCCGATCTTGGAGGCTAACTCAAACGATATTGTTAACTTGCATTATTTGTTGAGTGATCTACAACGTTATTGTCAACTTGTTTTACCTAGACTTGTTAAACATTGTTAACTTGTTTGACCTAGCATCGTTGTGAAAGCTCACTTTAGATCAAACAAGTTAATAATATTTAGCAATTGCTGATGTTCATTGTGACTATTTGTGACTTGGGTTCCCTCAAAAACTACTTCACGTAGATGGGGTACTCACTACAGATTCTTCGCGCGGCATCGAGCTATAAAGACAAACTGGGGCAGAACTGTACAAGTCCCAAATGATAATGAAAACTGGCAGGATACGGTAAGGGATGCCACGCGCATCTTTGAAAACCGTCTTGAAAAACGCAGGAAGTGACCGGGAAGTGACTGGGAAGTGGTTTTTTCCAAGCCAAGGTGCACCATCCGGATGGTGTAGAAATCTAATAGGCTCAGATCGTAAGCAAGTGGACACAGTAACATCAAACAAAACTCAGGAGGAAACATAGATTGTTCAGACACTGTTAAAATGTGTTCACATGTTCCGTCTCTTCCTCGAACACAAATTCTTCCTGTTTTATAACATTCGCATACCTTTCCAAACATAAAGAGACACAGGAGGAAGCTTAACACCATGGAGCTGGAGCCGGTCCTTCCGAAAGGCTGGCAGTCATTGGCTTTCCATTTGTCGTGGTTGGTCGCCACAAGTACGGTGCTTTGCTTCGATGCCTTAGATGCAGTGTCACATCTGAGCAGCTCGAGGCGAAACGCTTCACGACCTGCGACTGATGGGTACTACTTGGATATATGTGGTGCTCAGTCGGTGGTGGGAGTTGGGAAATTGAAGGAGCCAAATGACACTTTTGCAATTCCAAGCGCGGGACCATGACATTCGCAGTTGTTAGAATTGCCGCATTGGAGCATGGGATGCCTCTTTGATTTCAACCATTCTGCGCTGCTCCGACCGCTTTGAAACGTCCCAGTGGCGAACCGAGCGCCTCTTGCGAGGTCTTGCAGAACAAGCGCATGCCTGCACCGAGGATTCGTCAGACCACTCGTCGGAATGGATGCGACGAATTCGTCTGACAAATCGCTGTCTCAGTTTGGCGAATGGGTTGGCATGTGGTTCCGACACATGTGGTTCCGTAGCTGTGAAAGAGAGTCTCCCTCACATCGTGGAGAGTCTCCCTCATCCTGAACGAGACCGCCGGACCCGCAAGAACTACATAGGTCGACCTAGTTCACTACGTGTGCAGCGGCAAGCATCTGTGACCAAACCAAGCTACAATGATACATCCTCAAAATAACCCCCAGCAACAGAACCGAAGTACCACAGCTGTGCTTCTTCCAGGGTCTACTGGGGCAATCAACCGAATCCTTCACCATTCTCAAACAGACATGCTTTGCAGGTCTTGGTGGGTTACCCTTCCACCAAGGGCCAAAGGAAGACCCACCAAGCGTTGATCGATGGCTTCCACAGCCATGTCCCTGTGAGTCCTGATGCTACGATCAGCTCTGCAGCGAGAGTGCTTGCCCGAGGGCCAATGCCATAACCTGGCAGGTCTGGCCCAACAGCGACAAGTCGGTTTCCACACAGTATGGTAGAGACAGAATCTGGTGGAACAACACCTTTTCAACGGGGTCTTGAAGTTTGATGACGCATGATGATGCGAGATCTCACCGACGCCAAGTATTTCTTGCCCTACCAGAAGAAATAGCGCTACCACTAGTCACTTGCAGTCACTACTCGCCCCGGACAAGGGTTTGCATCCACCATGGCCAATGATTGAGGTCACAAATTGATATAACCATGGTCAATACTTGCGATACTGATGGTCAATAACCACTTGGATGACCATCAGTCTTGGCCAATAGCATTGAACTTTGGTGAGTGGACTGATGGTGCTTAAGCCTGTTTGACAGTAGGTAACCAACACTAAGAAACAATGAACATGTCAAAGGTTGTTGGGGCAATTTTTGTTTCCCCACAAAAAGAGAGAATAGCCTCAATAGCCAGAGTTGTTCACCATAACAAACAGTTTGTCGATCACAGATCCTGTGGATGTCACTTGGCCGCCCAGCCTTGCCATGGTGGGAGCACCACCAGGCGCGATTCGCGCATGGCGTTGTGGATTTGGCCCGGCTGTGCAGAGACGGCGTGAAAAGCCACGAGTTCCTGGAGATTCAACGGAGATTCAGCTGACAACTCATGCTGAGATGGTTAGGGGCTGATGGATGTTGATGGTGGTTCATCATGGTTGGTTTCCAAATCTAAGTTGCCAGCTCTTAAAGAGCTCGCATTGGATCCGTCATTTCTTCAACTGGTTGACCTATTTGGAATGGCAATTCTCCAGCCAGCTATTTTACTAGAGGCCAAGATTTGATTCGATGCCGACACACCAGCGACAGATTTGGTTGTATAGTCTTGAGACAAGTGCGGAAGGCAGCTGTGTGGAAATAATCTACCAACTTCAACACTCACATAGTGGAGCCACGGTCCCTTGGATGAAACCTGCGTGTGTCGATGTGTGAGCCCGACGTGACAATGCAGCCCGACGCGACAATCGGCGTCTGTTAAGGGACATCAATGACAGACTCCAATCTGAATAGGTGCCAGAGGCATTTGTTTTGTGGTAAGTGCGTGCAATTGGTGCATGCAATTGCCTCGGTTGATGGCATCTTGCCCTGATCAGTCCACGGTTCAATTTCTCAAAAAAAAGTTGTCACTGAAGTTTGACAGTCAAGATCTATCCACGCACTGCCAACCGCATACCTTGCGAAGGAATCCGTTGCTGTCAGGCAAAGAAAGCACTTGCAACCCCTCAAACATATCAGTATAAATGCTGCACTCAATGCACTTCTCTAGGTTTAATCTTTGGAGGCGACCTTGGTTGGATCATTTGCGATCTCCTGCGTAGCAAAACGGGACCCCTTGGGGACAGCTACCCTGATGGTCAGGTGCTTACAATACGAACACAATGCGCTTTCAGTCTAGCAGTTCCAAGCCGATACTGGTCAAAGCATACCATGTGCCACCAAACGAAAGGATGTCCTGCAAATGTCAGGTGTCACAAATGCCCTTTGCATTTTCCGGCCCACTTCTCAACGCATATGGGTGTTTCTAGAAATTAAGGGTGTCCCAAATCATCCATTGTTAACAGTTTACAGTAATATATAACCGAACAATTTTTTGGGTCCCCTATATTGAGAAACCACCATACAATACATCGTTAGTGTTGACCCGACTTCATACCTTTCAGACGCTTCGAATCCAAGTTTCTCCGCTGGTCGTCCGGATCAGCTGACCATAGAGACCAGTAGGTAGCAGGCCCTGCAGCTCAGAGGAAGAGACATCACTGCTGTGAACATCTGGCAAGACACAGCACCATGGATGACAGACTTTCAGTGTAGCCTTTTTGCTGAAGGAAGTGCAGGATTGCGAGAGCAAAAGTTAACAAGGCCAAAGATTGATAGAGATAAACAAGGGTGTTAGGAATCCAGTCGGAGTTTCGCGGCTGCGCAGGCTGGAGTGGCTGCAGCAGCAAGTCAGTCAGTCAGTCAGTCAGACACTTATCCACTGAGACAGTAAGCCACTCAGACGAGCCGCAGGCGGCTGATACAAATGCTTAGGCACACAAGCTTTACGGGGTGTAAGGGGCACATTCAGGTACCAACGATTCAGCTGGTAAAGGTGGCAGGCTTGTTTCTGAGTGGCTGCACCCAAAAAATCTACCAATGCGGATTCAATGACCAATCAAGCGATTAAGACAAGAGAAAATAGAAACGGCTTCGCAAAGAAAGAGAGTTAGGTTGCGAGAGAGAGAGAGCGAGAGAGAGTTACGTTGAGAGAGAGTGAGGGAGAGAAAACAAATCAGAAAAAGGGGAGACAGAGTGAGAAGTGTGAGGAAGGATTGGAGTGCTGCGCCCTGCGCACCCAAGAATTGTTGGGCCCTGCAAAGGTGGTCCGTTCCCAACGGGGTGGTGGGACTCAAACAAATCCTGGAGGCAGTGGAGAGAACAAGCTACTGTACCACTTAGCTTTAGTGGTCGTCCCCTACCACCCTGAACTGTTGCATCTGGTCGTTTTATGTCTGGTGGCATTTGCTGTACAGAAAACAATCCCTTGCAAATGGTGCAAGGCTCGAAACGGGAACAAAGATCTGCTGGGGTTAACTTTGAAAGGAGGAAAAATCGTACGGGCGGGCTCGATCCTCGGAAAGTTTCCTTTGTCTTTTGTAAGAAAATGGGGTTTGGATGGGTTTTGGGCTTCTGAAACCCTGAATACTGCTGTTAAATCAAGCAAGTATTCCATTTCTTGGGTTTGGAACGCAGATTTTGCATGATTTTGCCAAGCAGCATCCATGTAATGGTGTGCCTCAAAATGGCTGGCGAAAATGTTCCGGCTTCTCGTGCTTGTTTCCAGCCGTCGCATGACCAAATCGATCCTCAAGGCAGGTGGGCAAACATCTTCTGGATCTGATTGGCTGGTCAATGGTTTGTGTTGACAAAGGTATGGAATGGGTCAGGGACTTGAGAAACACATTAGCTTTCCAAGTTGGAACTTCTGATGGAGAATGTCCTCTTGACGTTCTGGCTCCCATGATGTTATATCTAAAAACACTAGTATGAAAATGGCCCCGAATGCGACGTCCAACGGCGTTTTCACGCGTGCGTCAGCGCGGTAAGCTCAAGGGCCGTCCCAAATGGCAGCAGAATGTACCATGGACAGAACTCGGCTGTACACAACATACCAACAACCGGGAAAATTCACACTCAACCTGTTCTTCGAGTCTGTCCGGGAGCTATGTACAATCTGCCATCTAAACATGAATTTCTACAAGTAGTACCGTAGTGCGTTCTGCGTTCAAAGGTAGTGAAACTTCTCTTCTTCGGCAAATCTATGCTCTTGTACGAACCATCGCTCTGCTCGTCGTTTCTCCTGGTTCTTCTCAACATGGTAAACACATGAGCGTAGGACCGAAAGCAATAGGTCCGGCTTCATGCTCTTCGTCAAACAATCACTCAACATTGTGTGTGAGCGCTGATCCGTTCAAGACGATCTCCTCCGTTCGGGAAAATATTGCAGGTGCTCTGAGGTCCCTGCCACAAGTTCTCGTGAATTGCGGCCAACTCAATCCCGAGTCGCTTGTCTGACACTTTGGCAAGTGTCTCTGCGTCGAGGTGATCGCAAAGGCAACGGCAATCCGAAAATTGCAAATGGATTCCCAGTCCTTGCGGCTGCGCAAACAACCCTTCGTCTCGCCGATAAGGGCGCGGATTTTGTCTCCGCTCTCTATACCGGATTGCAACGAAGATGTCTTGGCTTGGAGTGTCGAACGACGCACTCTCTTTATAGTCGTGGACGAAAAAACTAATGGCAACACATGGTAAATGTATGCACCCTCGTCCTTCATCCGCTCCACTTTGGCCAAAAGATGCGCACGTCCTTGCTGCGACTTGAAACCTTTCTCATTGCAGAATGAAGCGTCTGTCACTGTGATAATACCAACATTGCGCCAATCGGTTGTCTTCAAATGCTCTCTGGGAAATCCCAACACGACATCTTCAAGTTGCTTGCGTGCCAAATCGACGACTTTATTGCATTCACGCAATAGCCCAACGGTCGCGCCGTTGATTGCTGGTTGGAGATAACTGACGCGGTACGCCACATCAGGGCGTCCCTGTCTCGCTACCCATGCCAGCGAGCCAACAACAGACCTCAACTGCGCGACCTGATCTGGGCTCAATCTATCTGACAATTATTTCTGGCTGCTGTCCACCTTGATTTTCTTGATCGTTCGGGTGTAGCGTTTTGTTCACCAAAAGCTTTACCGCAGTAGCGGAAGTTCGTGCGCTCCAATGAGACCCAAGGTTGCAGGGTTTTGCCATTTTCGTTGAACATGCAACCGACCCAGATCCCATCCAAGGAACCCTTGAACCCCACCAGCTCCAAGAGGGTCGATCGCCGACGCTCTTGTCGCTTCATGCACAGCCCCACTTAGGTTGCAGCAAAACAGGTCTTTTGATGATTTCGCTGACTGGGGAGATGCCACCCGGGACTTCCACAGTGTGCCGAGGTGTCATCGAAAGTTTTGCTGTTGCTACATGGCTCGAAATGTTGCATCGATTTCTCCAGAACGTGGGTCGGGTACCCATTCAGCCATGAACGAGTATGAAGAATCGCGTTCATTGGCCACAGGCCTGCAGAGCACAAAGACGCTCAGACAGCCATCGATTTGCGCCAAACCAACACGCTGATCGTTTCCAAAGGTGTCAGGTATGAGCAACCGCTATACAGAGGAGCTGTCGGAAAACGACCCATCTTGCGCATTGGTCTTCGCAAATTGTATGATCCCTCAAGGGACAAGTCAATGGCCGCTCACGTGGAGCCACCCGCGTTTTCTCAGAGCTTTGCTGTCATTGGACGAGATGAAGGAACATCTTCGCAACGCCAAAGACTTCATCGCGAAGTATGCCAAGAATGGTGGACGCACAGTTGAAGTCGGTTGCAACGGTGGCCGTCACCCATCAGTTGGCGGAGCATTATGTCTCGCCGCGGTGTCGGTAGAACTGGGATATCGGATACAGCGTGACGCTGGCGCATTACTCTTCTGAGCATTGGCGTGAAATGCGCTGCGGAGGATCCTGCAGTGACTGTCAGTGACTGTCAAGATGTCACCAGAAGCCCGGTTGATTCGCAAGATGCTGAACGCCATACTTCGTCCAGGAGAGCACCGCCGTTGCCTCCACCGCCGCCTGAGCCAGAACCACCAAGGCCATCTACTTCGAAGATCATCCTTCGAGCCTCGAGGTACAGCGAGGATCTACTCATTTGGAGAGGTCTCGAACGGAGATGTCGCAACGCACTCAGGAGACAACAGAGGAACAAGCTGAAGAGATTTCACCCTCGACTATTCATGGACGTCATGCAGAAGATGATCGTGACCGAAAATTGCAAAAGCTGACAGCCACTGTTGAGAAGCTTGCAAAGGTCATTGAGAACATGTCAAAGAAGCAGATGAAAACAGATCCGGTTGAGCTCAAGCCAAAACATAGGTCGCGAACACCAAGGAGAAGACGTCGAGATAGCCGCAGCAATTCGAGGACCCCGCGTAGGGGCCGCCGTCGATCGAAGAGCAGGCACTTGTTGGGCAATGGCGGATAAGGCGACGTCGCCTTTGCTGCGCAGCGCCTTTCTTGGTGCTACCGGTCAATGCAGGCAGGTTCATCACGAAGGTAAATTTCTCCACCCCTGAACTCAAAGGACTGGTCAACCCATTGCACATACTGCTGGATTCCGGGAACACGAAAACCTTATTTCTTTGCCCATACATAGAATTGGGGTTGTCGACGCAGAACATCCCAATAGGTCTTCCCCTTGAACTGTCCTATCTGAAACACATTGTCGAATCCCATGGGGCGCTTGACCGACGACGGAGTCACTCGGGCGCCTGAGTCGGACGATGTGGCATCGTTTGCACGAACCATGGACGACTGTGCCTGCCACGGACGGGGACGTGAACCCTTACTGGATGCTCCTGATCGAAATGCCCTCATGGCGGCATTGGTCTGCTCTGCAGATGTGGCTGCACCTACATAAACAAACCCTTCATCATCTGACGATTCACTCTCATAGGCTAGGTTGGCACTAGGCTTCGGGGCTTGTGGCTTGTTTGCAAACTTGTAACCAGAATCTCCTGCCCAATCTCCCATCCTTCCGCAACGAAGACACTTTGACTTGGACTTCAACTCACGCAGCTTGGCACGACGTTGCTGAATGCTCATCTGGCTACGGACAACCTTGCCTTGGCCTTTACCTTTAAAAACTCTCTGGCCAAAACATTTACCTTTGCCTTTGGCCTTGCTGAATGCATTGAGCTGAAGCTGGATAGCTTCTCCTGCTTGGCGATCGTCGGCCTCTTCAAGGTCCATCATTGCGTTCAAGGCATTTGCATCTTCTTCGTCTTCAAGATAATCGAACTCTTGTTCCTGCACTTCTTCCTCTTCATCAAATCCATCTCCCAACCAGGCGTGGGAGTCGTCTTCATCGAAGTTGGTCTCAAATGTTTCTTCCATGGTTTCCCATGTTGACGACAAACGCTCATCCACTTCAGGGTATGAGACATATGCTTGTGAGTTAAAATGTTAGCCACAAGGGCCTTTAAGTAAGTTATTCCCCAACAGTTTACTGTTGGGGTTCTGTCTTTGGAAAAGAAAAAAGAGCTGGCCACACTCACTGGCCGCGCCCCTGAACTCTGTGGCTGGGCTCTGTGGCCCGGTTTGCTGGAGAGGAGTTTGGCCGAGCAAATAGTCAAGTCACGCTGACAAAAATTCATTGATGAAGCAATTTGCTCTTGGTGTGAAGGTAGGGCGTACCAAGAAATCGATTTTTGACTAATATTGATCTAAACAAATCGTTTTGAAGCTGTTTGGGGTCTATGCTTGTATATGGTTTATATAGTTTTTTGTTTTAAATATGAATTCGCTATGTCTTAATGTAAGCTTGGATGTTTTGGTAGTTCTGCTTTATGTTAATTTATGACTTTTATATGTTCTTTTTTGGCGTCATGTATGTTTTCCATTTATGTGTGCATTGTGTTTCTTAAAGAAGTACATTGTTTTTCATCAAATTTCCTTGATGCTTAAATGTCATTGCTTCTTCAGGGTTTCTGTTTCTGTCTTATTGTTCTTGTGTTGAAAAGTTGGTTTGCAAAGTATTGGTTTCCAGCCAAGTCTATAAATGAAATAACTCACTCTGAAAAAAAAGAAACTATGCAAACCCTCTCCCAGCAGTCAAAAATTTGCCTGCAATCCGAATACAGGCCCTGGATATCTGTCAAGGAACGCTAACCGCTAACCTAGCGCACTTTGCTTCCTATGTGAGTGGTGTGGGTACGCCCGGTAAAGCTTGAGGCAAGGCTCGGGCTTTAGGCTCTAGCAACACAAAAACCAAGTCACTTTTGACTGCGTCGTAAAAAGCCAGACCTCTGCCTAGACGTAGAAATGACCGCTACCAGTGAAACCAGCAGGCAGGCACTCAAACCAACAAACAAGGCGCTGACCGTGACCAGGAACACGACTAAGCTTCTCTCTGCCGCGCGTGCACACATGGCTAAAATTCATAACATGAAAGGCACCTTCCTCAGCGTCACAGGGCCGGCCACAGGCCAGGCAGACTTCGCGTCTGCTCGCAGCAGCTCTCGAGGCGCCCGTGCGCAACCTACAGACCTCGCCGCTACCTTCCCAGCCACCGCGCCGCGTCCAATCCACACCTGCGGAGACGCGCCGCGCGGAATCAAAAAAAGACATTTAAAGAATCATAAATGGAAACATATTGAAAACAAAAATCATAAAGATATTACTAAAATATCGAAAAATGAGCCTGTTTCGGTGATGTTTATTTTTCTATTGTTTTCATTTTGATATTATTTTTGTTTTTTGCGTTCAATATGCGCTCATTTATGATTGTTTTATGTTTTTTCTAATTCCGCGCAGCGCGCCTCCGCGGCTGGCGTAGGACGCAGCGCGGTGGCTGGGAAGGTGGCGGCTAGGTCTGTAGGTTGCGCAGTGGCCCTCGAGAGCTGGTGCGTCCGAAGTCCCAGGAGGCAGGTAGGAGGCCACCTAGAGCTGGCCAGGGGAGCAAACGCTAAGTCCTGTTCCTTTCCTTCCCTGCGGCCCTGAGTGCGGCACAGCCTTCACAGACTTGAGGGAATCAGTGTAAACTGAAACCTTCTTTCTTAACGGCTTAAAAGGCGTGAAACATTTTAAACCTTGCGCGCTGCTTGGTTTTTTGCCCCGTGTCTCCAGCATAGAACTTGCCATTGATATTCCCTTGCTTCTATTTGCTAAATGCCTGGTGTCTCATACCAACGTAGCTTCAAGTAAAGCCGCGAAACCTTGCCCTTGGCCCAAGGCCACGTGACACTTTGCGCGTCTGAGATTTAGAACCCTATCAATTCAGAAGTTGATTGTTAGCGCCTGTCTCCGTTTTTTCAATCTTTGGCCCTCGCGAGTCCTGAGCTACACTAGCCCTGATCAATCACATCACGGACATGAAATTTTGGAGGCCTTCTGCATACTTGATATTTTTTGGCTCGCAAACAAAAAACCCTGAACGGACCTTCAACCACACGCCGAAAACGATTGGTGAATTTGCTGAAAGATAGCAAGAAAAACACAAACGCTAAAGGGAAGACATGAAAAATGCACTTCAACAAAACATATGAAAAACCTGAAATAAACATAAAAGATAACATAAAAACAATATATAAAAATATCAAAAACCAAAAAACGCCACTTTGGAAAAACATAAACGAACACATATTGAAATCATAAAAATATCATATAAAAAGTAATCTTTGAAGTCACTCTTTTTGGCTACTTCTAAATTCACAATCATATGCAGAACGATATGTTGATTTGCCTTTTCCTGGATGGTTCGAATAACTCTTGCCCTTCCCAGACATAGGTGAAGAGCGGCCTTGTCATGTCTTGCCACCTTCTCTGAGGTGAAATTGTGAATAACGGTCAATGAGAACCTTGCAATAGCCTTCGAAGTTTGGACGGCGCACGCTTTGCTCACAAAGATCTCCTGACGTGACAAACCAGACAACTCGAGCAACAGTTCGGCGCGAAGACTGTCGCTCAGCATCATGGTCGAACCCAATTCCTGCAGCACGGACCACCAACGCTTGCGTCGGTTCGTGTACGACAGCATGGACTCTCCGGCTTGGCGTGACAAAGGGCCTCCGTGGGAATACGAAAGCTTTCATCTTATTCAACAAGTCTTCCAATCCTTCCTCACTGGTCAGGGCATCAAGACCGACGTCCCTGGCGAGCAAAAAGGCATCTCCCCGAGGATCTTGTTCACAAGAATGCTGATGTCTGGCTTGGTGATGACTACTTCCTCTTCTTCTTCGTCTTCTGGTCCGACAGGAGGGAAGCCTGAGAGCTCAGCGTCCTCCTCGGTCCTCAGTACCTCCATTGGGCATATCACCCCTCCGGAAGCTGGCCTTCGGCTTGTTGTTCTCCTTCTACAAGCGAACGCGAAGGCGAGTGCGAAACACCCAATCATGGAATGATGCGGCATCACCGTGGTAGATGTACGAACCAGATTTGGTCTCCAGATAAGTACCGCCTGGTGAGTTCTTGTCGGGATTAAAGCGAAGTCCTGCGACCGACATTTCCTGTCTGTCTGGCCTCAACGGGCAATTTCAAGAACACTTGGTTGCAAATTCTCGGTTTCAACACCTGGATCGGCGGCTCTACGGGTATCCGGGATGCAGTCGGACGGAACCCGAACCTGCTCCGCTACCAATGTGAAAATGGTCCCGAACGCAACGTCCAACGGCGTTTTCATGCGTGCGTCAGCGCGGTGGGCTCAAGGGCCCTGTAAACCCACATGGCAGCAGAATGTACCATGGACAGAACTCGGCTGTACACAGCATACCAACAACAGGGAAAATTCACTAGTTATTAATCACTATTAACCATCGCCATTTACCACTGTTAAAACTATTGGTACAGCATCGCACCATGTTTAATCACCAAGGCTCTTGGGCACTTCAAAGGACACTGCAATGCGTGGCGGTGGACTTCCTTGAGATCAGCCAGGTGCAACTGATAGGAGCATGGGGCCTTGAAGTATTGGTAAGCAACACATCTTTAATTGAGTGTCTATTAGTCTAGTGTACGTATACTGTATACCATTGTAAACAAAAGTATAAGTAACCAACCAACTAACTACATAGTGTGTAGTGTTTCTCTTCCGTGCTTTCGTATCTTCCCATATGAGGAAAGCAAATCCAGAATTGACCAACCAAGAGGGGTATACATCCTGGTGAGTGATAACGAATGATGTTGGGGCATATGCATGTACGCACGCATGTCTGCATTGAGGATGTAGGTTTCAAACTGAAAGCGCCATCAAAATAACGACCTTTATGCTTTCCTCACCATTGATTTCAGATACATGCCCTCTCTCCGGGCACTCCGTGCACACATAGGTTCATGGCATAGAAGATTCTAGGGCGTGTGCCGTAGATCATGCTCTATCAACACCGTTTCTACCACAAGGTGGGCTATATCTTCCCTCAATGGGGGCCTCCACTTAAAGAGAGACCCAGGCTAAAATCACCATCTGGGGCTAAGTTGGACACTGCACGAACCAAATCCCCAAAGTTCATGATTCATGATCCCATTTGATAGTTCTTGTCCACACATGATGACACATCATGGCGCTTTGCTAAGCGAACAATCATTTGCCTCCTAACCTCGGCTGGAACACTTGGGACCTGTTGGATTCAACTTGGCACTTCTATGTTTCGGTGTGACCACTACTGCCCAGCAAAAGCCGCCATTGTTAACAAATCAGTAACCACTACCTATGTCAACCTCCACCATCATTAGTCAGGATCAACCAACCCTTGTGTAAAACCACTGAAACCAACCGTAAATAGTCAACCATCATTAATAATCATTTACAAATCAACTATTACTTAATGACTGCTATCAACAATAACTAACCGGCAATCACCCATATCGTCAATGAACTAATATTGATGACTCATTGATGACCATTACAAACCACTAGTGATCAAGCCTTTTTAGACAATCATGTCTAAACCCTTTCATCTGGTGACTTACAACATGGTTGATCATATGATTTAATGATCAAGTCTAATATCAAACATGATTCATCAACCCTTTCTAGACATGATGAATTAAGAATAATCTTGTAACTCCCTTGTTAATAACTATTGTTCACCATGGTTAACCACTATAAACCAACCATTTGGAGGGTACCCCCATCCTGAAGCATCACCAAGTCCACCACCTCCCCAGTTGGACCCCTGGGACGACCTCACCAAGCGACCCACAGTGAAGTCCTGGACCTGGAGCAGCTCGCCGCTGTCAGCTTCGAAGACCCAGTTCACTCGGAGCCAATCCTCAGCGCGGTCACTTCCACCAGGCTTCAACGTGTGGCTGGTGGTGTCAACTAGTAGTTTGGTTTATTGATGGTTTAACAAGGTTTTGTTGATGGTTGAGCCTCGTGAACCAATGGTTTAAACGGGTGGTTTAGCCAAAATGGGTGGTTTAACCAAACGCCAGTGGAACTGCGAGTGAAACCAAAGTACTAGTGAAACCAATCGATGGCTCACCCATGAACATGGGGACTGCTTGAGGTTTGTGATGAACCAATTGATGGAAGATGATGGAACAATGATAGAGCTTCATGATGGTTTATTCTGTTTAGCCATGGTAATTGAGAATGATGGCTTGTTTGGTGATGGCGGTGGATGACGGACAACCATGGTTAACAATGATGTTTCCTGATGGCTGATGTTTTATGAAGCATCGAATTACGTTTAGTCAATGATTCAAACAAAAACGGGTTACACAATGGTTGGTGGTTGATACAGAGTGGTTTGTGATGGTCAATGGTTCAAAACACCGACGGTAGGTTAACAACAATTCTCAATAACTGTTGGCTCACCGTCATGGCTAGTGGTCGAGAAACCCATCGAAATCAAGATGGCAAATCTCAACAAACCACCAATCAATGAGGCTTGTAATTTGCAATAAATGCTATGGATGGTTAACAAACCAGAGTCTAAAAAAAAGAAACGCACTGATAAAACGTTTACTGATGATACCTGGCTACGTTAAGCCTGCTGGGATATTGGGAATGACATCACGTGCCTCGGCAGGCAAAGGTTACCATCAACGCTATGGCTATTACGTCGCCAAGGCTCCGCGATGTCTTTGTGACATCCCGCAACCACCAGCTGAATGCCCCTCTCCATGATGAAAGGATGTATCTTGGTGCACACCTCTCAGCGGAGCGCCAACATCGAATGAACAAAGATCCAAATGTGAATCAACAGAAACAACATATATAGTGAACATTTGAACCGAAGAAAGAGCAAGTAGCTGTGGGAAGAACACATTAGGTTCACTACATACTTTGCAACAAGTCTAATTACATTTATGAACATCAGAAAAAAAAGGTTACAAAAAGCTGAGCAGGTCTGTAACAATAATTCGCCGCTGCAAAGGGCAAACACTATGTGGTTCAATGTCGATCAGTAATTCTTAAAGGAATCAACGGTCAATAGACGTTAATGGACCCAATCCGGTGGATGCAATCCCCAAGAGACCATAAATGGAGCGGGCAAACTCTGATTCATTATCACACCTATCCAGCTCTCAGATTCCAGCAGCCAAATTCCTGTGGGCCACAACCAAAGCTAGCCATTTGAAACTTCCCAACCTATCAAGAGCCCCACTTGTTGCCTGATATGCCCGATGCCGATCAAGCAAAGATGTAAATTCCTGGGCCGGTACGAAAAGGTCTTTGTGGACGCCTCACCGTTCCAACAGCATTGCGACCAAAACCATATAACAAGCACTTGTGGGTTTGCACCGCCCATCAAATAACAACTGCACTCTAGAGTCTCACACGTTCGTTCACACTCACTTGCTCGGCTTTCGAACGACTTGGATCAGCAGCGCTGTTTTACCAAGCTCGAAGTGGCATGGGGTAACGAGCAAGGTTAAATCACAAAGAGACTGGTGAAGGATCAGTCATCAGAACTGGCCCGGCTAAGGGTTCCCTTCACGAGAAGCTCATTCACGAGCCCAATTTAGATGAAACAAAACTGACCCAGGCCCCCACCAGACATCACTGTGACCAACCTAGTCGACCGACAGGGCGGAAGGCCATAAGGCTTCTACCGTGGACCACCCAGCACGAGCGCCTGTCTCCAGGTTATCCCGGGACGGGTGGTCTGCCGGATTTGCGTCTGTAGCCACTCTATCAATGAAGACTCTACAACGTAATTGAAGAACTAGGTCCCAAAAGACCGATACGAACAAGCATAAATCTTCGCAGCTTGAATAGCCTTTCACGAGCGCCGACTCAACAACTTCCGAGTCGATGAACAGAAGGAGGTCAGCACCCAAAAATCTATCTGAAAAAGTCTCTAGAGCGACAATCGGAGCAAGCATCTCTACAGGTATGATCTGAGTTCGCCTGACCAGCCATCTTCTCTTGAGCTTCTCAGGGACTCGAGCGGTGAATTGTAGGGGGGACATCAACCTCCTATCAAACGGTACCGCACCTACACGATCAGGTTTCCATTCCACGTCACGCGGATCTGGTGAAAACCCGTCCGTGAACAGGACAACATCTGACCTCTTTGAGGCACAAGAATCGATCGTCCTAGGAGGTCCTTGGTTCACAAGTTTCAACCACTGCTTGAGCGACTCAGTCAGCGAAGAGTCCAAGTCGAACGATTCTGAGTCCGATGCAGGGTAGCGAGCGTATTGCCGTTCGGAAATTGCTCGAAGGAACGCTCTTCCCACCTTCCCCCACAACTGACTAGCTCCAAACATCAGTTTGCCTTTGAGCTTGCCCGCATGACCTGGTTCGAGAACTCCTGACTTGAGCACACCTTGCATTTCCTCAGTCAGTTCAAGGCGCCGACCGGCTTTAATTTCGAGAGCCCAGTCCTCTAAGTTGTAGGCGACGCCAAGGATCACTGGCTTTGAACAAAGCTGCAGCTTCTTCGAATCGAACGCCGCACCAAGGATCCAGTGAACTTTCTGAGCCACCTCAAAAGCCGAGTTGATCGAGCCGATCGGTTCGAAGCCATACTTGTCGTCATAGAAATTACATGACACAAGGTTGAACAACGACATGAGGATCTCATTGATGGCGGCCGATCGCCTATTGTAGTTATAATAGACGGCAGAAACTACCCCGAAAGAATGTCCCACCATCACAAAGAAACATGGGTTGCCCGAAGAGGGATCCCTCAGACAGATCACACTGAACTTCCTATGATCAGGACGGATTGCCACTTGTCGATATGCTTTCCTCTCATCCAGCACCCAACCCGCCATCTGCGAGCCAGGCAGCGCCGACCGGAGAGCGCGAAGGGCAGCCACGTTCGTGTCTGTTGATGGAAGCTGAAGTTTCTCAGTGATCTGGGTAATCTGGTTGATCAAGTTCGTGGTTGCGCTGTAGCACCCTCTGACCTTGTTCTTTTGGACGACTTCGAACCGTTGAGTCGGAATCCAGTCATCACAATCCAAAAAGGCCGTCACTTGATCAGCTGACTCGAAAGCGTCGGAGTCTCAGGTCATGGACAAGCTCCACGCATTCCTTGTGGCCCTTGAGTACCTGAACATTTGCGAGTTCAGCTACGCTGCAGGGCCCTTGCGCTACCTCTCGGAGCTCGAGGAGCGGCGACACGAGAACCGTGGCTTAGCTTTCTTGCTCACAGTGGACTCCCTCATTCGCAAGAAGGTCTATCGACTGAACTCAGATCAGCGCAAGAATTTTCCCAATTTCTCGGGCACCTTGGTTGAAGTTCTGGCTCACCACAAGCAGCTCTGGAATGATGCGCGCTCGAGTGCCGAGCTTGAGAAGTTCAAACAAGCAGGGCATCAGGAGGCTCCTTCCACTCCACCACGTCGTTCGACCAAACGGACTCGTTCGGAGTCGCCGCTCAAGGTCGCTCCTTCGACCAAAGCCAAGAAGAACAAGGCTCGGCGGGAACGCCAGAAAAAGTTGCTCCAGTCAGCTCGTGAGTTGTTCGACACCAAGAAGAAGGAGCCCACTAAGAAGGACGCTCGTGCGCCACCGGCAGAATGGGCCAAGCTCGATGCCTTCAAGTACAAGGGCGCCAAAACGGTGCCTATGGTACAACTGCTCGTTGGGCTGTCGTTTTGGTGATCAGTGCATGAGTGCTCATGCATGCGTGGAATGCGGCAAGGAGCACCCGTCGGCTCCGGCTTCTCTGCCATTGCCCATGCTGGAGCCACCACGCACGCATGAAGCGTCTGTTCAGTCGCTGACAGTGCCTCCCCTTGGTTGGACGTCTTGGTCAGAGGTGCCGCGCGATGTCAAAGCGATCGCATCGGCTGGGCCGTGGTTCTTGGAGATCTTCTCAGGCACAGCCAACCTTACTCGTGCAGCTCGCGCTGCGGGCCTCAGATGCCTGCCGCCAGTTGACATCACACCATGCGAGCTCGTGCCTCAACCGTTCGATGTGGTTGATGCAGCCAACTGGGACTTCCTGATGGAAATTCTACGGACGGGAACGGTTCGGTTTTTGCATCGCGGCGCTCTTTGCAACACGTTCTCTGCTGCTCGCAAACTGGATGGAGGCCCTCCACCTTTGAGATCGCACGAAGCCCCTATGGGTCTCTCCGAGCTCAAAGAAGACGATCGCTGTCTGGCGCTTTTCGGAAACCTTTTTCTGTACCGCTCGGTGGAAGCTTGTACCGTGGTCTTCACTCAAGGGGGAGATTTCTCCATCGAGAATCCTGAGTTCAGCCCTCCCTTGCTGGAGTTAGTTCGTGGACTTCGACCAGTGCTTCTACGGAGCTCCTTCAGTTAAACCGACTCGGTAATCTTTGGTTTCCCATCAAGCCCTTTTGGCCTTGACTGCTCGGTGCCCAGGTGGTCACCGACATGAGCAACTACGTGGCAAAGTTTGGTCGTCTTCTGCATTCTTCGTGAGCCCACTCTTTTGAGCGATCTGCTCACTCCGAGTGCGTATCTCGCCCACCTCATAGAAAGGCACCGCTGGATGCGCTCGACAAATTTCCGATGAGGTTCACGATGGTGAGGCAAGAGCACATCTGGATGCTTGGTAACAAACTGTTCTCGGAACTCGGCGTGGTCATCACCTGGAATCTCTGGCGCCTCCGCCGAGCGGCAAAGTGTTCCTGCAAAGACGAGCGTGTCTTCCACACTGCAGGCCGCGAGGTCAAAGCGAGCTCCTGAGCACCGGCATCTGCGCCCAGCAGGGCGTCATCGCCTACGATCGTCTTCAAAGTGGCCTTCACGGCGGCGATCGCGTCGCCGAGCATGGCAAATCCCCCAACTGTGAGCATGCGTTTGTCAGCCACGAGACGACAAAGCGCAGTTGAGAGCCACTGGCGACCGAACACTTGGCGGAGACTCAACTCCGGGACATTATAGCAGGATCATAGGTTGTACGATCGACCATGGTGCTCACGATGAAAAGATGCTCACTCGAACCGAAGAAAACACTATAGCGTTAATCCGATCCAGGTGTGGCCGTGAAATTAAAGAACAAGCACCCGGTAAAAATATGAAGACGTGTACGTGCTCAAACTGAAAAATAAACCTGGCGGGCGCGCCCTCCTTCGCGCACGAGCGTCACGAGTTCTCCACTCGAGCATCAAAGAAGGATGCCTCCTCCGGGCGAAAAAGCGCACGCCTTGCACAAGACGCTGACGTCCGGGAGGACTTCACCCACTGATGAACATTCCCGCAGCTTGAATTTGTTGCAGGCGGTCATTTCCTCATCTGAGCTTGGGGGACAGTGGAATTTGTATTCGTAATAACTCCCGGGGCTTGGGGATTTGATGAAAAACTCGATCGAGCTCAACTCAAATTCGTTGGCGTCGACGAGAATGGTGTCTTCTGTTTCCTGCACAAGGTGATCCGACTGAACAAGGTCCCGAACCAGCTGCTTCACCATCAGAGCCCTGCCGAGCGGTTCCGGGTGTACTTGAGTACGAGCGGTCCAGGATTCTTCCAGTTCGCCTGGAGACCAATCTCTTCAGTCGAGCGGCCAGCATGAACGGCTGCATCCAAAAAAGTTACTCTGCAGGAGTGCATGATCAGCTTATTGATCTCGATCGCAAACTTGGTTCTCTGCTCTCTGGTGAGCACATCACACTCATCACACGATCGGCGAGCAACGACCTTCAACCACCACTGCAGCGTCCGAGCGAACGCCGGAGGCCCTGGCAAAAACTCTGACACAGTGTTGAGCTCTGGCAACCAAAAGTCACGGTCTCCTGTGAACAGGTTCGTGAACAAACCCCACCCTTCTTCGAGGCAGGTCGACTCCCGGAACCCGATCTTCGGAACCACGAAGCGAGCGCCTACTCGCTTGCGATCGACCTTAGTCTGCCACGCAACACCGAACAGGCCTTCATCCTTCATCTCGAGCTCACCTGGGCGTACGTGGATGGCGTCGTCGAACCGAAGGGAAGCAAACACCATACACAAAATCCACCAGATGAAAACTCTGCTACCAAAAGATCGACCGGGACATCAATCACGAGCGTCTCCAGCACTTTGACTATGACTACGTCGATCGGAACAGGGACTGCCTCCTTGAGCATCTTCGCTCCGTCAGCAATGATCCGGTTCTGAAGAGCAACGAATGTGTGGTCTTCAAAATCGGGTGGATCGATTGCCAACCGAGCGCATACCCACTTGACCCCTGCCCTGAAGCTGGGAAGCACGGACGGCCCACACTCCTGATTGTCTCGAAAAAGACAGTACTTGAGAATCCGGTCGATGGCCAACGGAAACACTTGAACAGAGGCCCAACTGCACCACTTCTCAAATCGTTCGAACGACTGAATGTGTGCAGCCATGGTCCGATGAGCTCCTGTGATCAGTACCATCTGTTTGAGCTTCATTCGTTCCCCTCCGAAAGGTCAGAAGACTCAGTCGACTCTTGAAAAAGCTTGGTGTGGGGCCCCGCCCGTCGACCGATGGCCTCGAGCCTAGAGGCCCAATGCCACTTAGGTTTCTTCTCCTTGTCGAGCAGCGGAGAGGATGACGACGAGGATGATGGATCCAACTTAGCCTGCCTCACGGGCTGTTTGAGCGAAATGGCCGATTGCTTTCTGAGTCCTGCGGCTGGATCCAGGTGAACAGGCTTGGGTGTGTGCTCACACAAACCGAACCCTAGTTGAACAGCAGTCAACTCAAAATAGGCTCTCTCAATCGAGGATGTCAGGGATCAAAACAGCTCCAGCATTGTCTCTCTGCCTTGCAGACTTTCGACCACCTCTGACTCGAACAAGTTGGCCAATGCCCAAACCCTATCCATGGAATCTGGGCCTGAAGAGGCCTCCATGGCGCAGATAAAAGCTACGCTTCCTAGAGGGGGACCTATGGATCGCAGTCACGAACGGTTCATCGAAGATGGGGAGAGAGAGCACCCTCGCAACGAACCGACTGGAGGGAGAGATCACGATCGGACCTATACCCCCTGAACTCCATGTGAACAAAGAGGTGCCCTTCCAGCTTCACCTTGACATCGATCCAGGCGGGGGACTGTTCAGTCATTGGAGGCCACCTGAAGGGTTGAAATGCCGAGTGGCTCACGACCTCTCCCGTGTGGGAGTCCCAGCGAGCGCATGGAGCTTGACTGTAGCTGGTCATAGTTCCACAAAGGGTGACCTTGACCGCATCGAGCGTCCTCACCATGAACAGGCTGAAGTGGTAGCCTGTTGAGGGTGCTCGAACTGAGTGCCTGTCCGCCCTGACATTGATGCCTGCCAAGGCATTGGTGACCACCTCATCAAGCAGCCAGCCTTGGAAGGGGCTCTGAACACGACGATCGCGATCATCCAGCACTAAAGTCGATCGCTCACCTTCACCAGCTCCAATCTGAGAAAGATGGTCAGGAAGGGCCGTGTTCAAAGGATTGTGAGCCAAATTTCCTGGGGCGAGCTGCCCCCAGCGCACCCCTCTGCGTCCACGTCGAGCAGCTCTCTCTTGTTGTTGGCGTAGGCGACGACCTGTTGGGTTCTCATTGGAGTGGTTGAGCAACCCCTGAGCTGCCTGGAGCACTGGGCTGCTTGCTGAACAGGAGGGCCTCCTTGAGGCGGAGGAGGTGGCACCAGACCAGGTGCCTCCGTCATGACCGATGGGTCTGTCTCCTGAACAGTGGGCAGAGACGATAAGCCCTCTGCTGTCACATCCTCCTCGAGTCTGGTCCATGAAGAGGTCGATGAAGCATCGTCCCAGCGACTGCTGGCATTGTAGATCTGCTGCCTCAAGGCTGCCGGAGGCGGTTTGGCCTTAGGCTTGACCACAGGTGTGCCTGAAGAGGCTGGGCCCCAACTACCTGAAAAGCTTTTGCCTGGCGAGGCTTCTCGAGAGGAATCTCGCCAAAATGGCATACATATATACTTGATCAAGTAAAGATAAAACAAAGCTGAACAGCAGACTCACAAGTGACCCCCATGACCAGGCCAACCTAACCGACCCATGGGACCTTGATTGCCATCATGCAGCCCGTGCAGGTCCCACGATGATAATTAGGAAAACTGAAAAACAACTTGGCACATGCCTACGTAAAGAAGTATCAAAAGATCTAAAATAAAAAGAATGGGGACGAACAGCAATAAAGCATGCATTTAGTGATGAACAAGAACAAAGGAAAGCAAACCATCACATGACCAAAAAAAAAAAGCGTCATCATCATCATCATCATCATCATCATCATCAGCAGCATCAGCATCAGCATCAGCATCAGCATCATCATCATCATCATCATCATCATCATCATCATCATCATCATCATGGGCTGCCCCAAGAACTTCTTGCGATCTATGGTTTAAATAAACAAATAAATAAACGCACACACACATTATATATACAACGTATACAATATCAAATATATTATATCTCAACATGATATACATCATCTGCTCACAGCGTCATCCACGGTGATGACACTTCCATTGCTGCAGAGGCTGCGCGCCAGCTGCGCCAGACTGCGCTCTCCGGCGCTCAGCTGGTCGTAGCTGCGCCGTGCTGCGGCCTCTCCCAGGGTCACCGCCTGCGGAGCCATGGATGGAGCCATGGCCAGTGGCATAGCATAGAAACTGATGGATGGAGGGGGTTTAATTGAGATAAATTGGGATGGATGGTTTCATTGGATTGGAGGCATCCCAACATTGTCAGACCAAGCGATTTGGATGGAAGGTAGCTAGCAAATAATGAAAACAAGTCAAACAATAGTAGAACCGTCAATGAAAACGAGTCAAACAACAGAACCATAGCCGAACGCTGTACTCAATGCAACGCCAAAAAACTCCGTGCATGGCATTCCAAGAGGAGCATCCTATCCTCCCATCTGCCCTGCCTCCAGAAGCTTCTTCTTGTCGCCATATGGAAGTTGATCCCAGACGGACTTCGCTGGGTCCCATTGGAATGGCAAACCTCCACGGGAGCAGATGGTGTGGCTGTCTACGACGCACTGCTTCTGCTTAGTTGGCTCTATAAACACACAACTCAGTGGCGTCGCTGATGCAGAGATGAAGGGATCACCATCTTCTCTTGCCCAAACTCCATGATGTTGGAGTTTGTTTCAATTAAATACGCCCGCGTTACCTTTGCAGGCCTTGCAATACATCTCAATCAGAAACCAATCCTGCAACCAACAGCTACTCAAGCACGAGTATAGTCGCAAAACAAAATCTTAGGCAACACAGCTTTTTTGTACCTAAGAGTCGGTTCATTCATGCTGGTTGTTGAGCATCAATCAGCTGCCATCAACTTTGGACAGGAACTTGTGTGCTGTGCAAAGCTGTGCAGGAATGTTTGGTACAGGCCAGTGATCCCCCTGACTTGGTCTCAGGCCATCAATGGTGTCAAACCGATAGCAAAATGCTCCAAGAAAAGCACCAGGTTTGCCAACAAATGGTAAGATTAAAGCCAGAAACATGCGTTCTTAGCCATTGGATACAACGGGGACATGATGACAGATGCAGAACTGCAAAACCAGCAGTTTCCTTGCAAACCGGTCAGCTTCCCAGCTTCAAACCCTGCGACTGCTTTGAGCAAGTGCTGCTTCATTCTGGTGCAGATTCAAGGGATTTCCCAACCCAACAACAACACTGGCAATCATGTTTGGTCACATGGCAGCTTCTTAGTCGCTTGGATGGGGACCCCAAAAAATGGATTCTACAGAAAAAATATAGTTTTGATGAGTTTTGGATGATTGGATTGGGATACCACCATTTGGGAAAAACATTCATGTTTGGAGTTTAAAAAACCCGACAAATGTGAACAAAAATGACCATGGATGAATCAAAAAAGACGACAGACTGTGCAACGGAGCATGGATGACCATGGCATCCTCCCGCAGTCCACAGCATCGCTGCCTTGGCCGAAGTTCTTCAGGTTGGTGCTCTTCCCAGACCCCGATGGACCGATGATGGCACCGATGCTCCAGGAAAAGCCTTGGCGCGTGGTCCTGTAAGGATATCGCCACTGGTTTTTCAACGGTCAATGGTGATGCTTAAGCCAGTGGTTGTGACACTCAAACATGTTAAGGATGTCTAGGTTCCAAAGGATGTTTAGGTTCTAAAACCTATGGTCATGCACAGTGGTCCATACTCGAAATGAATGATGGGTGTTCATGGTGCTTAATCATGGCCCATGATTTGATGGATGTGAAGGGAACAACTGAAACTTGGAGTTTACTTCATGATCATGTGGAAGATACCAATGCCTTGGATGCCCCCGGGTCACCCTGAACAGTCTAGAACACTGGGAGCTGTGGCAGGGTACTCAACTACCTTCAGCAGAAAGCTTCAAAAGGCTTGGGTGAATCAACACCCGGAGCTGTCGCATGCGTTAAGCCTTCCCATGGTAAGACCAAACAAACGTGACCCGTGGCAAATCTTCCCCCTCTCCCAGCTGCCAAGGTGCTCAAAGCTTCAGGCTTGAGCCGGAAGCACTTTTGCTTAATGCTTCCTGCCACGAATAGGTCCCAACATGTCCCAACTCCATCATACTTCATCCAATGTCAGAACGAAAACTATCGACAAACATCCGCATTGTATCACGTTCAACAGCTTCGGCCAAGTATCCATCAAAGGGATGGTCGAAGGCTTTTGACACCGCTGCTGTGCATTCGTCCAGGCCAACGGACACTTGGAATTCCTGGCCGTCAAAGAAGCATGTGAAGGCTGGAGCCTTGTTCAGGGCTTGTCTGGGTTGACTTGGCCGAACCCTGAACCTACTCATTGAGGTCAGTTGCAGTTCTGTGGTATGTGACAGTGATCACAATGACAAGGTTTGCCCTCAAACATGACAAACACACCTACATTTTTTCTTGGAAATCCCTGGACAACGAAGAAAAAAACTTGCACAATCGACATCGAAGAAAGTGCGTTACAACAAAGTCACCCGATGCTGCGACGAGCGTTGGAACCCTACTGCATGCCGTGACACAAACCTCGCAAACATGGAAAGAGCATCAAAAGCAACAACGAATGCTCCCTGGCTGCTTTCTACAAACCGGCAGAAAACAGTGACGAACATGTTTGAAGCCCTGCTTGACCAGCAGCACAGATCAATATCTGAACGGCAAGGCCGCTCAAAGCCACACCCAAAGAACCTCTTTTCGGCCCCAAATCAAAAGATTCTCCAAAATCGCTATGTATGAAGCCTGTAGAGAAAACTCAACGGACGAGAGTTGGAAACGTAAACGGACGCGCCTCTCGCACCGAAGCACCCGGGATCCTTTGACCAGTTCTGCTCTGGAGAGGCATGTCATCCAAGGATTCCTCGGGACCACGCCATCCGCCTCCCGGGCCACCAGCAAAGCGCTCCACCGCGGTGTTGATGGACACCATGGGCCTGGTGAAGTGATTGAAGCCGAAGTTATAAGTCAAACACTATTTTTTTGTATCCATCAAGTCAATCACTTAGTTTGGATGGTTCATACATGTTCATACTGAGTGATTCTTCATCCAAATTCAGTATCAAGTGAAGATGATTGAAGTACCTTCTTTAGCATTCCTTTCCATACTGCAGATGTCTTTGGATGGATCTTCTTTACCGGGTCCAATGAATGATGCCAGCATACGACTTAGTGACAGAACCAGCCTACGACTCTGTGTCAAAAACCAGGCGCTCTCGACGTCTGTGTGTCACCAGCCACTCTCGACGTCTGGGTTACCATGTTTACAGGCAAATGTTCACCGCAACTGATCACTCAATCATATCAAACCAAACTGCAGCTTGTCAGGCACGCGCAACGCCTGTAGTGGCACGAGCTAGACACAAACATCTATCTATGGTTTCAAGGGAGTACAGCTTTATGCATCTTCACAGAATTCCTTGTGCTGATCTCGACAAGCCAGTTTTAGGCACAACATGTTTGCTGCGCCCAACCCACTTTCAATGCAGCAACTTGAATCTACAGCTGCGGCTGGAGTGCACCTCATCGGACTCGTCAGCGCGGAAATCCCATGACCGTTTCGGTGCACAACCGCCTTGTCCTCAGAGTGGCGCTGGACCGAACCGTGAACACTTCAGCAGTGATTCTAGCAGTTGCACTACTCATTCAACAAGTCCAGCAGCTGTTGCAAATTGGAAAATGGAAAACTATGGTGCTGATACAGGCTGAACCGGTCCCAGCTGCAGGTAGCAGTTCAATCACGAAATCCGGCTGCAAGAAGGGCAGGACCGATTTCTTGCAAGTTGCCTCAAAAAGTGAAGTCCAGATTGGGACCTTGTGCCTGCTATGTGCCTACCACAGTGTCGAATGGAAAGTGACTTGCCAACTCTGAGGAATGTCTAGTCGGGTGGATTGAAACAAAAATGCATAACTGACCACTTTCCGATCCAAACCATGAAATGTGAAGCAGCGGGCACATCATTGTTTGTTGAATTCAAAGCAGGTGAGGCAAAGTCAACAATGCAAACTCTATGAGAACTCTATGAGAAATCGTGTTCAACATTGTTCGACGATGGTCCAAGCAGTGGAATCAAAATGGATCCTCAAACTCAAACTTTGTGCGCTTTGGATGTCAAGGTCCACTGCAGACTAGCAGCCAGAAGGATCCGTCCGCAGTCATGTTGGCACAAATACCGATGGAGTCCGGTGCACAAGGAATGGGCCGTCTCTGCATCGACCATGGCGAAGCGGTCATCGCCAATGCTGCCTGGGATGACAACTTCACCAAACCTGGCGAAATTTCAACAGTCAAACATGGCTATCTTGAAACCCAGCCGGTCAAAGCATCATTTAGGTACTGGCCTATAGGCTCAAAAATGATGGTGTCCAGAGAATCTATTATGGAATTATTTCCCCATCGAACCGATCGCCACTCCCATTCCCTGCTGACAAAAATGCCAACGCAACGTGTGTTCGAAAAACTTGGTTGCAAATATGCGTGAATTCTGGGTGGCGACTGACCCTCCCGACAAAATTGCCGCGCTTTCAGAAGAATATCATCTTTAGGGGGTGCACCGTGCACATCTGCACCATTAACAGGGTTCCCACTGGCAACGCGATTGAATTCATCCCAGGGCCCCAGTTGTCCTTCCTTCAATGAGGTCGCCAGCAGGAAGCGCTCTCGCTCCCCTTGTGAGAGCACGTGGAAAGGCTTCACCCGAGTGGGCAAAGAGTGCATTGCGACTGCCTGGAATTTCAGAGAAATCGACTTCACCTCAGATTGATAACGCTAGGCTATGGTGCTGGTTGTCCAGCTCATGGTTGGAGACCGCTAAAGGTGGATGAGGATTCTGATTCCATTGAGCTGTTCTCACCAAGATGAGCCAAGGAGCGTCTCCACCGTGCAGCTCTGGATAGCTGCATATGGCCGTGTTACCCGCGGCAATGGGAGGCTCAGTTTGCCAAGGGAGGCCATGCAACTCATAGAAGGTGGAGACCGTGTGGAGCGCCTCAGGTGTTGAACTTTGGCACCTGGGCCCCCAACAGCGATCATAAATGATCCCCGGTCGACAGGGTTGGTTTTGAGTTGGATGTTAGAACGAATGTGGAACTTCTGCAAGGCAACTGCTTCCCCACCAGCCTGAAGACCCTTGCACCAAGCCCAAGAGATCCAAGATATGTTGGTTGTTGCTGTGCATGTTTGACGTGTGTGACGCTTTTAAAATTCCACCATTTTGAGGGGTGTGGTTTCCCTGGTGACCCACGGCAAATCCAACATGATGCGATCCCGCTTGGCGAGTGACGCGTCCGCTCAAGATACTGCACATTGGGGTGGGCCAAAATTCCACCACGTGAATATGATTCTTCGATTGTAGATTCGCTATTGAAACACAACAAGGATGGATGTGGCATGTCGCCTATCCACATCCTGCAAACATTGCCAACAAATAGCCTACAAGAGTAAGGAACAAGAGAAGGGATAACCCAGGAATGTCACCATAGGACCAAAAGCGAAGAACGTTCCGGCAACCGTCCCATCTGCAGCACAAGAGGCCGAAGTCTTTCCAGACCCTGTGTCCCCGCAAATTACCCCCAGCTTCCATGCCTCCCAAGGGCGCATTCATTGGCAGGGGTCAACAAGGGTGATTAACGGAATGCTCCGAGAAAGCCATTCATCAGCAACAACGGGGTCCATGCTTCGGATCAAACAAATCATTCACCTTCTGGTTGATTGTTCCTTGGATTTCCCAGTTCCATGCCATTTCGCCACCTCCTATCAGGATACAAGCTCCATCATCCGTAGCTATGGCCCACCACATGTTGGAGATGGTTGGAGGTGGCTCTCAACTCTGGGGATCCCAAACAGCCATATTTTTTGAATGCCTAGGTCCCCAAACATTGAAAAAAAGGATGGGTTTTTCTGTCTTCATCTTAAGCGGTTTCATCCCATAAATAAAAATATAGGAAACACAACTTCAAACGCTGGTGTTCAGGGGTCCTCCTTGTGTTGTCCCTGGCCTCATAGGGCCCTGGCAACTGCGTAAAATCAATGGGAGGATGACGCTGCTCCATGGCTGCGCTTCTGCCAGGCTGAGGGTCCAGGTGGGAACACTGTGAAACCCCATCAAAGGCGTTGTCCTTTTCATACGTGTGCACCTTGTTCAAAGGTCTTTCGTTGGCTCTGGGATGCTCTGGGGCCCCTTGAATGTGCACAGAAATCTCCGCAGAACTTTGCCTTGAGGTAAATTATATAGATAAAGTGAACATAAGCCAGAATGCCTGCTCTTCCCATGTCCACATCAAGAATCAATTACATTCCTTCCAAGAAATAGGAACATTACATTCTTCCAAGGGACCATGCAAGACCATACACCCTAGTTGAAAGGAGTACACTTGGGTCTGTAACCAACATGGGTGCCAAGGGTAATTGCCAAAACCTGCGTCCCTTGCGGGTGCGCGAGTCGTTTCACATTGGGCTCTCCGGCTTCATCGATATGTTCTAAGGACACGATGTCGCCATACCAGCCGAAGACTTGTCTCAGGCCATTCTCCTGGCTGACGCTCAATCAACAATGGTCCAGTCAAATGGTGAGATCACCATGGTTGATGAAAGCAATCCCGAAGACAACGACGTCGAAAAGTTTTGTTGAAAATACAACTCAAAACTGAGGTTTGGAGTACTGTAAATAGAAAAGAGCTGTGAAGCTTGTAGGAATGATCGACCACTGGGTCACCTGCTAGCTGCCTGACTCTCACAACTTGAACTCAACACCATGATCATCAAAATGGCCCGTCTTCCAAAGTCCCAGGGATGATGCCTTTCTTATGGAGAGACACCTGGAGAAGTTGGAATCTTTGCTGAAACAAAAAAGTAGCTGAGACACCTGGAGGCTGACCTCCGTGTATCAGTCAAAACCATCCTGGAACTCGTCCCTTTGATCTCAACGTCTGTCACCACTGAGGCTCCAAACCCCCACATTTGGGCCAGGTCGCAGAGGTAGACCTAGGAGGCCAAGAACCCCCGGAACCCCCTGGCACATCGCTTGGGGTCGCTTCTCCTGATAACTTCTGTTTAACAGATGTGTTTCTCACAGCTCAATTGCCTCACCCACCATGAAGGTACTCCAATCTTGGTTGTTGTGTCCGTTCGCACGATCTCCTACACCTACACACTCAACATTGGTCGCAGGGTTTAATGAAAGGTGGCCCAGCTGCTCTCCCCAAGTTCTGGGAAAATGCACTCGCTAGGAATCTGAGGTCCCATGCCGCAAGGCATCCACCCTGGCTGGTTCAAAGGAAGTTTATGGGATGCTTTGGAATGTTTATTTTCCTGCAAGAGTGTTTTTTGGGAGCGTTTGGGAATTGGTTCGAAATCAACCTTCGCCACTCCTCTGCTTAGCGTTCTACATCGGAGGTCTGTGGGGGAAGCTCCTCGTTCCTCATCTTGCCAGTTCTCCGGTTGCTCTTCTGGGATACCAAAGCTGAAGAGTGCCGTACAGTCACCCTAAACACCATTCTCGCGGAGATTTCCACAACAGCGACTCATCCACCTGGTTCTTGTTTACCATTGACCAAGCCCTGCTTTCTCGGTCCAAAGGTCCAAAGGTCCAATCTGTGCCTGCTCCCATGGCTCCATGAACAGGACGGCCAAGAATGAACCAAGACGTATCTCTCTTGAACATGTGAGTGTTGAAGACAGTCCTAAAAACGTCAATTGCTGCGTTTGAAGACCTGAGTGGTGGATCTACTTCACCACGCCCCTTCGTCATAACCCACAATCTTTGCCCGAAGGCCGCTTCTACTATGTGACACCGTGACTTGCTTTGACTTCATTCACCACGCACGGCTTGAAGACAGAAAAATAGACCAGCGGCGTCATCATCCAGCCACATGAAGGGATGGGATCGGTTTTGCGCATTTAATAAAGCAGCAGAAACCAAAAAAACAGAAGGTTTGGCCTTGCTGACGAAGTCTTGCGGCATGTGTTCCGTAAACGCAACTTGCACGTTCACCACAGCTCATGGCTGCGGTGGGCTAGCAGCTAGCACACCACGAGGCCCACAAATAGATCATTGACTTGCAAGAGGTGCAAAGGAAAACAGGAATCACAAGAAACAGCTCATTTCTTTAGCTCCCTGCTCCAAAACTTTGGGGGTAGGACTCATGCCTTGACAGGAACAATCCCAACATCGGCATGCACAAGCGAGCCGCCTTTTGACAGGTCTGTAATCGATCGCAATTCCATCTTACGGATTTGAACTTCAAACCCCATACTTGCCACATACTCTCGTACCACGATAGTATGTGGGCACTCTATCAGTCAGCGAATCCAGACCAAAATCCTCCTGCGATCATCACACTGCAGCTCCACGGAAAATCATGTCTTTCTATGTTGTGCTTCATGTCAAGCACAGCAAACGGTACTGTGATGGGCAGCCATTACAAATTCACAATGGAACCCTTCTTGCAGCTCAGCAATTGCTGTGCAAGAAGCAATCGGTCAAAATCCATGCCAAGAAGAAGCAGTAGTCTTGTGCTGTGTCCAAAACAATTGATGTCTTCACTGTGTCATCACAGGCTGAGCAACAATAAACATGTAAGTTCACGAATCAAAATCGCTGTTTCTGGAACGTTCGCGTTGGTATGCTTTCCTGCGACGTCGTCTTTGTGACCCAACCGCCACTTGCCTCAGCCGTTTTGGCACCTTGAATCCTTTGCGGCTTTGCTTCTTCAGATCAGTAGCCAATCTGAAAGACGTTGAGAAGAACCAGGGTCCAGAGAGCAAAGAACCAGGGTCTATTCTGGTCTCACTGAAACTGCACAGAGTGGCGTGTCTGCGCAATGCGCTGCTTCACTGCCCCTCTTGTTCTGCAGAGAATTTCATCTGGCAAAACCTCGATTTGGTTTCAGCAGCATGACTGTTGGAAGCAGTCAAGAGAAGGTTTAGCAGGTTCCAGCTTGAGACTTGAGACCTGCTGACAACTCGAACCTCCTACACTCATCAAGGGTCCAGCCTGGCTAGCTGAATATTTGTTTGGGACACAAACAAAACGGCAAGTGCAACTGCCGCCAGCAATACCTACCTGGTGCAGATTCCGTTCAGCAATATACTGGCAACAGCTTCAAAGCCTTTCTGTCTTGATTACAACCATGAGGCATTCGATACATTGCATTGCGCTGTTCACCCAGTCCATATAGCCTTTCCTCTATGAGCAATTGCACTGCTCTGCATTGGCAGGTTGCGACGGAAATTGCAAACAGCTACGCCTCATCTGCAAGGCTGTTCAAGGCAATTGCTGTCATGCCGCATGAACAGCCTTGTCTGCAAAGCGTGGAAAGAATCCACAAACAAACTCTGGACAAACAGTTTGTCACAGCAAGGCATCACATCCAGCACGCTGTCTCGAGAGGAGGGGGAGGTGCCTAGCTCTTTGAGAAACTGCTGATCAAATTGGAAGTCATGCCTTCTGACGTTGCAAGCGCCTCCTTGAAGACTGTTTTGGAGTGTCTACTTTCGAGAATTCCAACAAGCTGCTATTTCCATATGTCATAGGCCTGACTCAAATGGTTTGCCTTTGCTCGCCAAGTCCGAATCAGCCTGACCTAATTGAATTGTTCACCTGCGAAATAATATGGCTCCACTGGAGCACACCTTCACAAAACAAGCAAATCAAAGAGCTACCACACCCACCATGTTGCCAAGAAAAGGAAATACATACACCAGAACTCAAGCAACAGCTCTCGGCAAGCGGAGCATCAGAGGACCAGAAGGCAATCGGAATCTTCCTTTTCAAAGTCCACTTGGCAGCACTAAGAAGCTGCACTGAGCAACCCTCAGCTTGCTGTCCAAAACTGCTGTGGAGTCCACTGCTGCACAAAACCGAGTGGAGATCAATGTGGCACCTAAATGCTGGTGCATTTGTCGTCAATGAACCTGGGCCAACTTGGGCCGCCGAAGTCATACGAGCTATTTCGAAACAACCATTGTGCCTAAGGGCAAAGCATGGCAAAAGCAGTTTTGATTGTTTTATATAATGTGTATGTTTCTGCCAACACATCTTACGAGGGTCACTCTTGCCACAAATGACCAGAAATGCAGCTGGCCAGTGGTTCGGAGAGACCAGCGGTCTGTCCTCTCCTGCTACGTGCTTACATAACCCTGAAGACTTGTATAGCTGACCCGAACGCAACCAATCTTTCTGCAAGTCCGTTTGTTTTCAAGTGGGATCTGACCCAGGCACTCCTCTCGAGGCAATTGAGATCTGGCCTTGATCTCCTATGTCTTCAATAGCTGTGAAGTCTCTGCAGGATTGCCACTAATGAATTGATGTGCTTACTCTGGAGGGCTCATTGTCACGCCCAACTGGATCTCCCAATGTGTGAGCCTGAAAGTGCGGCACCAACGATCGACGGCCTTACACTTCTACCAATGCTTTCTCTGGGACATTGCCTGAAATTTGCCCCTGAACTGACAGGACGAATTGGAGGAATCCCCGCTACCCTACCCTTTGCCTCCAAGAAACTTCATCTTCGCGGGGTTTTCTGGGTGAACTGAGGTTTGACCTAGTGAAGAAAGACGAATCTTCTGATGCAAGGCTATAGTCGAACGTTTTTGTCAGCACCACCAGCATTTCCAAATTAGACAGTCCTTGGTCGCTTTACAATGCCTTCCGCTACTGCACAGAGGTGCTTAGGGGTATCATTTTGGTGAGTCCCCTTAGCATTGATATGGTTTCAAGAAATGACGCAGGAGAAGGCTTACCCTCTGTTTACTAGTAATTTTGGCGTCTTTAGACAGCATTCAACAGAACAAGCAGTACCATCTCCTGTGAGGTGTGCTGCTGCGGCAAAGTGTCTAGGTGCTGAGGGACAAGTTAACATCCTCGACTTGTCACCTGCTAAAGTCTGGCAGGTGTCTTAGACAGTTCAAATATCCTTGCACCGCAACTGGTCAAACCATCATCATGGACGAATGTCCTATGAAGAATAAAGTACCGCCATTCATTCACCTTTCAAGTATGCTAGACTGTTGCAGGTATTCCCAAGACCACAGTCTACCGCATCAAGGACCT